GCTCTTCGTCTACCACGAAAGAAGCAGATAACATGGCACAGGCAGCACGAGTCGAACCATCCTCGTCTACCGCTTCGACGACAGCTTGACGTCATGGATGTCGAGGGTCAGGACCCACGTGGATCAGACGACAGACTGTTAAATCGATTAAATCCATTTAAGAAGACCGACGAGCGCGAGAATCTCCAGGGAAATTCGCTGCACCAGTTTGCCGACCACTAACAACTATCTCTCACTTGGTCTCTTTCTTTCATTCCATCGATCATGTTCACGGTATCCGACCGACTGTCCAAATAAGCTCGCACCGATCCAAACAAGACAGCGTTGTTGCGAATCGCACGCTCCGAAACTACCGCGACGATATCAATTTTCAACATTATAACCCAACGTTCGGTATCGAAATCGATACGCGGCGAAGATACGCAACTCGCTGTGCCAGACTGTTTGTTGATTGCTGCAACCTTGTTGTGGTTACAACGGAACCCCTACGAGTAATATCGAGAGTCAACGGTGCCTCGATTTACGCGTAATTACATTAAACGATAGATGAAACCCATCAACTGTCAATGCTAGTCGATAGAACACGCGTGCACAATTGGCAAAATCATCGTCACAAGTTCACCTTTTTTCGCGATCAATGGCTAATGTGACGAAGATTTTTCCGTATAGAGATTTCACTGCATCGTTTTTGTGCAGTATGTGAAAATTTCCTTATAGATACACGGATAGATATTTACAGAGGATCCATCCGGAGAGTCGGCGACGCACGGGCCTTAGCTTATCCATCATAGTTAAGTCGGTTCAAGGAACTATTAAGCTTGTTAGTGTCGTGCTTTTGTCGAACAACACTTTAACCAAGTGTGTTTAAGCTTATAATTTTCAGGTTTGGATAAGTTATGATACACGAAACGTTGGCGTAAGCGTAACCCTATCATTCACCACGGAAACGTCTTATCGTAAAGACATCCTGGAATTTTTTTTTAGGGCAGATATGGGCGCGTGTCGAACGCTAAAAATACGTCTAAACCGTAAAAATTCTGAGGTAGATGATCAACACACGGTTTAATCATAAAATTATAACGCGTGGTTCGCGTGAAAACTTTGAATGAAACAAAGAACACATTTATGTTGCCTACCACGAAATGCTCGCGATATTTTAAATATCCATTTCTAAGTATTTTTAATGTGCTGTTGTATGATAATAACAGTGATAAATTATCAGAAATTTACTATGAAATTTTTCTTACTGAAGTTTGATATCGGAGGTTGTGAACTTTGTTGAAATTTATACATTCGGTCAGTTGATTGAATCTGATTATAATTAACACTTTTCCTAGCAAAGTATAAATATCCACGCCCAACAACCAAACCTATACATTTGATGCGGATACATTCACTATATACATACATATGTACATCATACGTAGACTACATTAAACAAAGTAAGTACTTATCATATGCTGTAGTAATTCTATATTTGTTTAAAAATTATGATATACTGTATCTCTAGTAAGCTGGAATATTCCACTTGTAATTTGTACCAATTACAAGACACGATCTATGATAAGCTGTTGATCTGTCAGATAACAAGACTGTTAAACGAATTTGGCAAATTTTAAACAAATTTCTCTAATCTATACTCGTGTTCAATATCGAATAAAAACTAATTTCATTTTTATTTTTTATGCGCTACTTTGAAACAAAAAGATCGCGCAAGTGGCACCATCGTGCGCCAGCAACGTGAACTTCACTCAGTAGGTAAGACAGGAAACTATTGCAAAACGAGCTTTATGATTTCTGTATTATCGATTTGTCTAATGTTCTCGTAAAAGGTTATTTATTAAAATTCTTAAAGAATTTATCAAAATATTGTTGAAATAATGAACGAGGAGATCTTCTAGTATCTAAGATATCTTAAGATTAAGAGGGATTTATCGAAACGGTCAAAGAATCTAAAAACATGATTCGCAGATTCTGCTTCCATAGATGGATTCGAAGGATAAAAAAGCACCTGACCAGTCTTTAGTCGAGACTCGTCCATGAACGAGACTCTTACTCCCTCGAAACCTTTATCTACCTCGAAGGATCACAATGAAAAGCAAGGTGGGAACAACCAAGTAGTATCTTTCTGTTTCACATGAAACTGGAATAAGAAAGTGGAAAGAAGTAGTGCAATTGGCTTACTTGTATTTCGAGCAGCAGCTCCGTCTTCTTTCGTCTTATATCTATGAGAATCTTCTGCTGCTCGGGCGTCAATTCTGCACAACAGAAGAGAAAGCACGTTAATAACTTGCTGCGTAGAATGAACGTAATAAAAAATTTCTTTTATCACGGATCACTTACAAACACACCATTTTGTGATCTCACGTCTTGACACTCAATATACAAATTCTAACTATTTAACGGTAACGATAAGATAATCGAACGTGAACTCGATCGAGATACAAACGGTATCGCTTGGAAGAGCGCATTCGATACAATAGCTCATCCTCGGCACTGGCCAAGCCGAGGAAGAAGCCTCATTAGGAGCAATTTAACGACGGATCTAAAAATAGGTCTTTCAAATTAAGGCTGGGGTCGCGGTAAATGCACTGAATAAACGCAAATAGGATTAGACTTCGAAGGGGGACAAGTGGCAAACAGGCAGGTTTTATTACAAACACCTTGAACCGCTTTCCGTAAAACCTTACCCAACACTGAACTTGGTCAAAATAATTGGAATCACTTGTTACGGGTGGATGTTCTTTTCAATATTCTTTTTAGTATTTTTCAATAGTAAAAAATACCTTGATAGTACGCGTTTATATCTAAGGAAAAGTTATAAAAAAATTTCAATCTCTGTCATCTTGTAATAAAACACCAGCCTTGAACGCGTTAAGGGAATTCCAGAAATTATAACAACGTTGACTCACAACGACCCGATCTGAAACGATGATAACAGGCGAACAAGTGTGCCGGTGAATAACGCGACGTTCATGCGGTATAATTACTTGCCCGTTCTCCGAGCCATGCGTAAACATGGAAATGCGAGAACAAGAAGGGAGAGAAATGAAGGAGGAAATGGTGTACGGTGGTTTCATACACCATTCATAATGCGTTCTGCCACCTGTACTACGTCGTGTCGGTACCGTATGATCCGTAGCTCGACCTCGACGCGAGGTTATGTAATTCGAACGGGTACGCTAACCTCTTCCTTCTCCCGCGACGAACGGAACGTATCCTCGGATTAGGTTAGGTTACGTGCTCGAGCGGAACAATTAGAAACTGTTGCTTCGTTCGAAGGCACGAGGAACGCGTAACGGGGTCGATAGCCGTGCTCCACAAAACATTAAGAGCTCGATGTATAGATTTCAATTGTACTATGCTTAATTAAAGATCGGTCACGTTGATTGCCAAGTAAACATCATCAGGATTCTCGTTACCGATCTCAACGCACTTGTTTGTCGCTTGTAACTTAAACGACCAAGTACAAAAATAACAGTGCTATCGTATTTCCGAGAGATTGAAACCAACCTGAAGACATAACAGACGATACAGAGTAACCAAGAATGATTCACGAGATATTTTGTTTCGTGATACGCAAATATAAACAGAAAAGATTATCTTTTCCCCGATTACCGTACGGTATCGAAAATAATTATCACGAGATTATTAAGACCTTCGCAAGTCCTTCATTCAACCTCACTCAGATGCTACAGGGAAGCTGAACTTTTGTTGACAGATGGGGGTAAACATCGAAGATCTTTGAGTGTCAAGAGTTACATCACTATTCACAATGGAAATTATGAAATAAAGATCAATGAACAATGAATCGTGTCGGTTCTGTCAGGAGAAAGATTTTCTTTTGTTTACAGCATGTATACAATGGAAAAGGAGAAAGAGCGCGTGCGCCCTGACAGGGAAAACCTAGACCTTAGCCAGGTTGTCGTTTATTCGTACCGAATAGATTCAAAGTTTTTGTGAATTTTCTTACCCGTTGTGCCGAACTGGTCGACCTGGTGAGCACTAGAATTCACTCCCGCACCCCCCAGACCGTCCAGATCCTGCCACATTTCCGAAAACTCGCACTTTCCGAGCACACGCACGCACAAAATCACCCACCTTCACTCAAGCGGCGCCATTTTCACTGTTAACTGACTGGTCCTTGGCTAAAACGACGTAAGCGTCCCTAGCGGCGTTATACGTCAACTACAAATTAATTTTTCTTAATAAAACCAAACTTTTCCATTAAAATTGTTACTTACACTGCATTATGAAAAAATTATTCTCTCTGAACATGCAGTATTACAAAAAGAACTCTATAATTCAGTAATATTAAAAAATATAAAACTTTATCCACATTTGGAACGTACGATGCTTACTGTACCGTCGAATGGTACCATCATACCTTATGAAAATAATGCAGTTTCTTATACATGTCTGCGATCGATATTAAAATATTTATGAATATAATGCACTTAGCAATTTGATAGCATTACATATAATAAATACAATAATGAATTTGAGCGATAATCATGTTCAAACGTACTTCACAGATTATAATGCATATGTAAAGTATATCGTGTAACTATGATGTCATGTCATCTATTGATCTTGCAAAACATTGCTTATAATTGCGCTCAGATTCACGTAATATTGTCTTTTTCAAGGTTGCGAAAGATAATCGTCAATGTTTTGTTTCATGTGTAGTATAATTATGCTATTCAACTATACAACATTGAGCGTGATCATCGTTTGAAAGGATTTTATGTAACAATTAAATAAACATTCTGAAATAAATGTCAGACGAAACTTTATTTAGATTCTATATTCAGAAGTATTTTTCAATTCGTTTCCAAGCAAATAAAAATCACGAAGAAAGGGAAAAATTTATGCTATTTCTTCTGTTTACAAATGACCAATTCAATGTCTAAATACATAATGTAAGTTCATCGCGCGATATTTAGCATGAATGGCGCATGCGTTCAACCACTGTTCGACCGCGCATTCACGGCGACGCATGCTCGAATAGAAGCATAGTGTAAGGTTTATCGGCAAAATATTCTCAAACGATGAATAATGTACTTTTTTCTACTATGAAACGCTAAGCTGTGAATGCCTGTAGTAATTTTTCAGGACAGAATTAGTTATCTATGATATCGTATCTCGAACGTTTTATTGACGCATAGCTATCAACCGTTAACACCGATCGTTACTCACTCCTCCATTTAGAACAGTAGAAGGCAGAAACCCTTGGACACATCATCGTTCGACCACTTGTTTCAATGTGCAACCAGTTTATTCCGGACTAATGGTGAAAGGGATGTAATCGTTAACAAAAGTGTCGTTATAGGAACTTGTGGACAATGAGTATTGAAGAGAGGTGTACCACAAAAAATGCGACCAGTTCGGGCCGGTTGTGTTTGTGAAGAAAAGAAACATTGTTTTTCGCGTGTACCTACGATGCTATGTTGCGTGCGGTCTTACTCACCCAAAACAGAATCGCCCTTCAGTTTATAGACTCTGTAAGACAGATAGTGGCCAAAAGGAAGCACCATATTGCTAACCACCCTTTGAACATTGTTAACATTGTACTTTGTGCGATGCAAAGTGCAGGTACGTGTATTTTCATTTATTTCTAGCCATTCTGATTTAATGTATGGAGATAAACCAACGTGCCTGGTAGTAGTCATAGTAGCGTAACTGTTTACCGAGGCTTAAAATTTAATTAAGATGAATCATCTTTTTTTTCCATATACCTTTTATTTTGATTTCAAGCTGTTGCAATTTAACAGACTTATTTAATTGAAAATCTAGATTATCAATTTTGACCATTCTTTGCAAACCGAACACAGTGGTCACTGTGAGTGTAAATAGAATAAAATCAGAGATCGGTGGTGTCCCTGAGGAATGGTCACAGAAACCGATACCCATGTTAAGAAATCGCTATCGCGCGAGCTTTGAACTCGGATTGTTTTGTTTTGTTTTAATTGACTTTTAAATCACGATTTCGCTCTAGTATGTCAGCCACGAAACGGATGGAGACCTACTTATTCTATTAAACGAATAAGCAGTCAAATGCGGGTCTCATAGTGACTGGATTAATACTGTTACTAACCCATCCAAACTTAAAAACTAAGCAGCGAGATATTTTTACATACGCCCCGAAAACTAAGGCCGACCGTCGCGTCGGTTATACAATGTATAGGAAACAGTTCTTCAAAATGTAGAGTTTTACAATGTATTTCAGAAGCATTAAAATCGGAGAAGAGGAAATTCATTTCAAGTTCGTCTAGACGTATAATCGAATTGTTTACATTCTTAAATCGTTATCATTTTTGTTTACAGGACTCTCAGAAAATGCTGGCAAGGGGATATCCGCGTCTGGAATAACCGTAGAATCGATGAAACTGTAATAACTGTCATTTGCTCGATCGTATCGTGGGTACACAGAGAAAATGAAAAAAAGATTGCTTTTGTGCTTCGTCTGCGCCGTCATACTTTTTATTCTTATGATCTCCACCGATAATGATTTTATTCAACACGTATCGCCGTTTTATCTCAGTGGTTCCAATGATATCACGTGTTACGAAGGGGCTAATTCAGCGGATAACATTCCAGATTTTAATCCAAAATCAGGTGAGAACGTTAATATCGTTATCCACAACAAAATCTTTCCTTTGATAAAAAGTTTTCTCTGATATCTTGTCCCTATCAAAGAATAAACGATTCTTTTATTATGAACTGTAGTTCGTAGATTATAGAAGGAAATATTGAAAATTCTTTGCTTTGAATAATCGCGTAAAATATCATGTGAATTCCTCGAAAGAGTAACTTATCTTTTCGTACAACCCAGTTGCAATACTTTTGGCCAAACTTCCGGTTCTTTATCTTTTATCAACGTTGCGGAGAATCGTTCTACAATCTCGTCGTTTCCTCTAACATTGCGTTTATGCTAAACAGAAACATTCAGCTGTGTCTCGATTTATTTTTTATTCTATACTAGTATCGAAGGGGTCGACGAAGGATCGAAACATCTTCTTCCACGAGACATCCTGCTTCGACGATGGTGGTCTGCTTTTGAACGCTCGCCAAGCGTGTGCCGTAGAATCTGCGGCTAAAATGAATCCAAAGACGAACGTGTATCTTCTGTTCGTGTCCCCCGCGAAAATCAACAACCAGTCGAAGGAATTCTTCAATCAGTTACGAACTTATCCGAACATTCATTTGGGACACATTTATCCGGAGGAATACGTGAAGGGTACACCTTTGGATGTATGGTACAAAAGCGGCGTACTGAAAAAGAGCCGATGGCCAAGGAGTCACATGTCGGACATTCTTCGATACTTGACCCTATGGAAATACGGAGGAATATATTTAGATTTGGACGTGGTTGTCACTACGTAAGCATCTTATTCTACTGAATTCTACTTGTTCAAGTAGAAATAAATTATACTAATTATACGAATTTTCTCGGTAGATCCCTCGAAAATTTAACAAATTTTGCTGGCGCCGAAGACTGGGACGATGTTGCTGCTGGAGCGATAGGCATCGACGCTACAACTTTGGGTCGTCGAGTGGCCGATGCTTGCATTCGTGACTTAATGAAGAACTTCCGTGGCAATATTTGGGGTAACAACGGCCCTGGTGTTATCACCAGGACTCTGCAAAGAATCTGTTCTGCGAAATACGTGAGCATAATATTGGATTAATCGCACATACTTTCAGGAAAATTTTAATCATTCCTACATATTATATAAAATCGTACGAATTTAATACGTGAAATAGATTAGGTTCGTAAGAAATACTATTTCAGATTTTTCTCGCTTAAGAAAATTGCTCGTGCTGTTTTATTTTCTTGCGAGGCCCTGAAACGCTTAACAAATTACAGAGCAACATTTATTATATATTATTATCGTGACCATTCTGAAGATTATACAATGAGTGGGAAAGATTGGAAACGTTAATGGCACACCGTACACATAGAATGTCTATCATTTTTTGAATCACCAACCTTTAATCGAAGAGTACACTCGACGAAACACGCAAAGAAATTTTAATTGTAGACATTGTTTCAGATTTTATTATTAATACCTTCGATATGTTTATACTTTCTTTAGGTTCGGGATATGACTCCTGCTCGATGCGGTGGTTTCAAAGTTTTCCCGCCGTCAACTTTTTACCCGATTCACTACAAGAAATGGAAAATGTATTTCGAGACGAAGAATAAGAATGCTACAATGAAAATGATCGAAAAAGCCATGGCTATACACGTTTGGAACAAACTGAGTAACGCGCAAGAGGTACGCGTGGACAGTGACGTTCCTTATGCGATCATTGCGCGAAAGCATTGCCCAAAGATCTTCAACAACTGTGGAAAAATGTTTTAACATCTTTCTTGCCATAGAAATTATCGTGCGAATTAAGAAAACAGTGAAGGAGAAAAGAAAATTCTAAATACCAATGAAATTACACTAGTGTTTCATGAGAGCGAAGATTAAAAAATAAATTAATTTTTGTCATCTTTAGCACTCTATGTAGCCATGTGCCTAAATATTATAGAAACTAAACAGTAGAATAGGCACGCCTATTTCTACTGTGGAAATTAAATTATTAATTGATCATTTGAAGGCAGCATGATACTTATGTGAAACTATAGCTCGTACAATTTTCTATGACGCACTGGATGATAACATTTTTATTTACAACAAACTCTGTTCTATGTACATACTCTAAAAATATCATAAGTGAATTTATGTTAACATTCGTACGTCAAATGTTTATAATATATCCTCGTTTATGCGGCAACGTATACTTAATGTTTTTTGAACGTATCTTTAAAAATAAGTGAGCAAAAATAACATGAATATACAGGGGTTGTACGAACCTTAAAATAGACTTGTATGCATACACAGTTTAACATATGTGTAGTCTCAAACAGAATTTTACGTGATTCTTCTTTAAGTTGTTTAGTAGTCTGATCCCCAAAACTGACTTATCCACCCCTTGTATATCGTTAGAACTGAATTGACATTTCGAATGATACAAAATTTCTTAAAGGACGTACGATTATGACAATATCAAAGACCAAGTTTGTTAACCAAAGGAAAATATACAAACTATTAGCAACATATGCGTTATATAATATAACAAAAATATAAATAGAAGGAATTACGTGTTGTAAATTACCCCGAAGTTATTGCTAAAGTATTTGTAATTAGTTCAAGAAAGTTCATTAGAACATGAACTTTAAAATTAATTGCAAAAAGCACAAACAATCATCGTGAAAGAGAATTTATATACAAATTAATTAAAGAGATTTCTGTTCGATTATTGTAAGTGTTTCTTATGAAAGAAACTTGAAATATTTATAACAAGTTATAGTACTGGCGAAAATGTACCTGACCCAACATTTTTCTGACATTAAGTTTAAGAAAAAAAGGAATCTATCGACACATAGCTCAATTGATTATAGTAGCTATTTAATGCAAATTGTGATTCAAATCGTGAATGCACAATTAAATAGATTTTTATTCTGTTTATATTAAAAATCTTAGTTAAATTATAAAATTTATGCGAATCTACTCGATTAAAATTCACATTCCAACGCGATAATCAAAACTGAAAGTAATAAAACTAAAATTTATTTTAACGCTAATATAATACATATGTATTGTATTATACCATAATTTGGATAAAATAACCGAAGAAAAAAGACTGTTCATGTTGTACTTAATATTTGATGTCGATTGTTTAGTAAATTTGAAGGCAGTTTTCAATGATAGTGCCTATTAAGATGAAATGAAAAGTGTTAGGAGAAGGCTAAACTTAATTTCTAAATAAAAAAAATAAAAAAACAAATATGTATAACATAGAAAAGTTTAAAAGAAACAAGCTATTTTTTCAAAGAAGCACACAATGGAAATATGTAAGATTTAGTTATTATATTTTAAACGATAAGGTGTTCATGTTCCTAGTTTATCAAACACTATTGTACAACTGCAAGTCTTATATACTGTTTTTGGATGCTTTATGTTTTTTCTATATAAACGGAAGATTTCTCTAAGATTGAATATCATTATTTATCCAGTCCAGTTTTACCTTTCATTTCATTTTATTCTTATTTAAACAGATTTAATGATTTGTGATCATACTTCAACCCTACATCTAGATTTTCAACTATCTTTCAATATCTAGTTTTGAATGAAAGGTCAAAGTACAGATAATTAAGTAATTACTTATCTATCTTATCGTTTTGTTTTAGGTAATGTCGGTATTGCAGATCGTAAAACACGAACTCTCATAAGGTAAACCGTAAACACTTATTCATTGTCGATAAACAAGGCTATTTACATTCAACCAACATGCAGGCCGTCTAAAGTTTCATAGTTTGTGCCTTAATGTCGCTCCGAAATTGTCCAAAAAGCGTAAAGAATGTACGAATTATGTCCAGCAAAAGAACGCGGTGGTGTTAAAACATTGTTTTTTAAATAAAACGTTCTTAAAAGTGGAAAACTCGTAATAGGTATTAGGTACGTTCATTATTCTTTTTCTCAAATTAACTCTTACAAATAGCGTGCATCATTTATTCGTGCACGAAACTGTATTCTATAGTAACTTAACCTATTTGTTATATTCTGCAGAGAATTCCACGAAATCATAAAAAGAATGGCAGTTGGTTCGACAAAAGTTGTACAGGTGACGAATATCGCACCTCAAGCAACTAAAGACCAAATGCAAACATTGTTTGGGTACCTTGGAAAAATCGAGGATATCAGATTGTATCCTACTATACGCGACGTAGCGGTACCTGTTCAATCTCGTATTTGCTACATCAAGTTTCACGACCAAGGATGCGTTTCAGTTGCTCAACATATGACAAATACTGTTTTTATTGATCGTGCATTAATTGTAATTCCCTATCAAAATGGAGACATTCCAGATGAACAAAGAGCTCTTGAACTAACAAATAATGGCACAGTTGTACCAGGTAGATAATGATGTAGAATAATTTTTCATTAGATATAATACTTTTATAAAATTCAGTCACGTTTATGATTAAATAAGTTGCTTTCTTTTCAGGTCTTTATCCTTCCGAACCTAAACTTCCACCTAATGTTGTAAATGCCATAGAAGGCATTCCTCCAAATCATGTTATTACCACTATGGATCCAAAATTAGAGGCAAATGGTTTGCCACCTTATCCACATTTACCTGGCCATTTGGACAGTAGAAGAATTGAGGAGATTAGAAGAACTCTTGTTCTTGCTAATTTAGATCCTTCAGTAACTACAGATCATCTATTAGACTTTTTCAGTACTAACAATGTTGAAGTTAAATATTTACGTATGTGTACCAGAGATTCGGATGCGGAACATTATGCATTGGTCGAACTTTCTGAACAAGCAGCCGTAGTTTCTGCATTGTTATTAAATGGAAAAGTGCTTATGGATAGACCGATTAAAATTTACCATTCGACGCAAGCAATAGCAAAACCAGAAGCAAAAAGTAACGAGGCAGCACAAAAGGAAATAGAAGAAGCCATGTCCCGAGTAAAAGAAGCTCACAATTTAATTTCAGCTGCAATAGATCCGATGATTGGAATGTTATCAAAGGACAAACGAAGCCGTAGCGGTTCTCGTAGTCGAAAGTCTAGGTCTAGATCAAGAGGACGCAGTAGACGATCCAGATCGCGTAAAAGATCACGGTCTCGGCACAGACGTTCACGTTCGCGTCATCGACGTAGATCGAGATCCCGATCGAAACGTTCCCGTTCCAAAGAACGTAGACGAAAATCTCCGTCGCGCAGAAGAAGCAGTTCTCGTGGCCGACATCGTTCACGTTCACGATCTCGACGTTCCCGATCTCGTAGATCTAGGTCGAGATCGAAAGATCGTAAGAAAAGATCGTCACCTCGTCGAAGAAGTCGCTCGCGTTCTCGAAGTAAACGTTCGAAATCAAAATCTAGACGGTCTAGATCCAAGTCCAAATCCAGATCCTCAAAATCAAAATATTCAGAGAAATCAAGAGATAAAGATAAAGACAAAGAAAGAAGAAGCAAGGATAAATCTGATAATGGTAAAAAAAATGATAATGATAAGGCTGATAAGGAAAAGAGTGAAAAAAAGTCTAGTAAAGAAAAGAAATCAGAAAAGGAATCGAAATCCGAAGAGAAAAATAGAAATACATCTGAAAATAGCGATACAAAAGATAAAACAGAGTCTGAGAATTAAACCTTGACAAATTACGGTCTATAAAGGTTCATTTACATCGCTCGATTATTTTGTTAATTTAATGTTACAATATACCATAATGTATTGATCAATAAAAAATAGAAAAATATAAAAACATAGAATATTCAGATTCTTTTAACTTGTGCATGTATAAAAAATGCTTTAAAATATATTGGTATAATTGTAATAACATACGCATTCAAATTTCTCTCAAGAATCCATTTATATTCACATTAAAATTTCATTTCTACTCTCAGAGAAACTGACATTTATGTGAACTTGTTCTAGCAATAGATTCATGGTAAATATATACAAATATCAAAGTCGTATATTTTCATTTTTATAAAATATCTTATTATCGCTTTGTCCTTATTACATCTAATTAATTTATAACTTTTTGTAACTATGTAGTACAAAAAATGTACATACATACAAAAGAATTGTACTAAATCGTATATAAATAATATGAAACGATTGAAGAGTTCAATAATTTTTCCTTTAGAATCATAATTTTAAAAAATACTGCTCAAACTTACATTCAATGAAAAGTAGGGTTTCGTTCTACTTTTTTGAACCAATCCATTTCACACAGGCCCTTCTTTATTCTTGTTCGAAATTCTTTCACTGCAAATTCTTTCCTTTGGATGTATGTATGTTACACGTTCAACAATAAATAAGTAGTAATAAATTTCATTATGTCTAGTTATTCAATTTTAAACTACGCGCCATCTACGTGGTGATGGCAGCACTGATAAGCAGTTGGATGACTAACAATTGTAATGTCCTTTCGATAAACTTTCGTGTTCTTTGATTGAAAGCAATAGTAGATCATGCTATTGTAATCTTTACGGTATCTTAAGTGACAGATGAATGATTTTACTTACATTGTTCAATTGCAACTCAAAGAAGTGCTAACATTTCATTAGTTACATATAAAATTGAAACACAGAATTTGAAGTTTCCATGTATTGTAGAAGTTAACACGGAGGATACAATTGCTTCGCATTGTGTTTATAAAAAATTTTAACGCATCTAGTATTTGATATAAGAATATTTGCGTATTGAAAAGTAAGGTCATTCTATTTATTAAAGTAAATGGTGAAGATGACACCTCCAAATGAAGCAAAGATCAGGCAAAGTTTATCAAAGGCATGTAGTATATCTTTCTAAACATGAATTAACAATTTTATTGACATTATCTTTAACAACATTCGAAATATAAAATGTAACATATTTTATAGTATCAGAATCCAGATATTACTAAGCAACATGTTATGAGCGTTTTGAATCTTTACAATGGTTTACAATACGAAGTAGAACCATTTGGTAAGATACTTTAACTTATATCTGTTTTATTCCAAAGCAATTTAAATACTAGTATTTAATGATTATTAAAAACTTAATTGGTATACGTGTATTTATTTTAATTATACTTTGTTCCATGCTAGTATTTAATGATGGATCACGTAAAGAATTATTTAATTTACAAGGAACAATACCGGTTTCTTATGAAGGTAGTATAATCTATTATTTTAATGAAAAATAAATTATTGAAATACAACAGATGAATTAAAATTAATATGGTATCTTTAGGTAATTGTTATAACATTCCTATATGTATTTGGTTGATGGATACACATCCAAATAATGCACCTATGTGTTACGTTAAACCTACTGCTGACATGTATGTTAAAGTCAGCATGTTCGTTGATCACAATGGAAAGATCTATTTACCATATCTTCATGATTGGTTGCCAGTGAGTCATTCATTATTAATATATACTTATAATTTATTTGTTAATATACACTTATAACAGCAATTGTATATCACCTATATGTATGTTTTATTCAGCATTCATCAGATTTACTTAGTCTAATTCAAATAATGATTGTAACTTTTGGAGAACAACCACCTGTTTATGCTAAACCTAGGAAAAATACCAGATCGAGTCCTTTTTCTGTACAGGGTAAGATGAAATAAGATATAAGTATTGTTATGATAAATTTTAATGCTAAAAGATTAAAAGTTATATAGGTTTTGATCCTACAACTGGCAGTAGAGCACATATGCCAGGTTCTCCTCTCCCACCATATCCACAAAATCCACCATATCCAGATGGAAGTAACGTATATCCTCCATATATGCATCCAGCATCTTCTGGATTTCCATATCCAGGTTCATATGGTTCTTATGCAGGAAATGCATCAAATTTTCTATCACAAGGATATACTGGTTCTTTTCCTTACCCACCATCAACACAACCGGTAAGTTATAATTTTTTAGTAAATAGATATGTATGTTAGATTATTTAATTTAAATATCAATTACGTGTTGCGATTTATAAGTCTCCAACTGTGCCTGGTACTACTGGTGGATCGGGTACAATCACGGAAGAACATATCCGAGCATCTTTATTATCGGCTGTAGAAGACAAATTAAGACGAAGACTTAAAGAACAATTTTCACAACTGTTAGCTGAGCTAGAAACATTACGACGGACGCAACAAGAGCTTACTAGTGGGTCCGCCCATCTTACCGAGTTATTTGACAGGCTAAAGAAAGAAAAATTTGAACTTGAAAAAAATATAAACATACTCCAAGATAAAGAAGCTGAATTAGAAAAAGAAATTGCAAAACTTTCTGACAATCAATCGATAGATGTTGATGAAGCTGTTACAACGATCGCTCCACTTTACAAGCAGTAAGTATTCAAAAAATTATTTATTTTTCAAGTTCCTTAAATAAAATTATCGTCTGCTTTTTCGTAGAATGTTAAACGCGTTTGCAGAAGAAGCTGCTACAGAAGATGCTATATATTATCTTGGTGAAGGTTTACGGTGTGGTATCATAGATTTAGATGCATTTTTAAAGCAAGTACGGCAACTTTCGCGTAGACAATTCATGCTCAGAGCGTTGATGCAACGCTGTCGTCAAAAAGCGGGATTAGCTGGTTAAATGCTATATTTGAATTTTATAAAGTTGCGTCATTCAATATTTTATTTTATTACAAATAGTGTATTAAAAACAAAGTGTATAAATCCCACGGTAAATAGAGGGATAAAAATATGTTATAAATGCAAGGCATCGTCTTCACGGATCCAGAGAGTATTTCTGATGGATCGATTACTATATATGTATACAACAATATAATTTTTGTTTCATGTTGTACACATTTTGTTCATTAGAAAAGATTTGAATGTGAAACTTTTATATACAAAGTGAACAAGAAACAAAATATATATATATATATATATATATATGCAATTATATTAAGAATAAATATCTTTGTTTTACAAAATTATATTTCTAAGCATATTTAATAATCTGTAAAAAACGGAATGTGATTTTTGATTCTTTTTATATTACAAATCACTTATGTACCTCAAACAGCAATTCTAGATATTACAAAATTTGAATGCTTACTATGTGATAAATGTATAAATTAACCATATTGCATGATTTAGTAAAAATACATTAATTTTATTCTTGTGACTTGTAATTATTATACAATTATTTAAATGCTATTACATATATATAGACTTAAAAGTTTGTTTTATTGAAAAGATTAACCTGGAACAAAGAAGAGATTTACATACACATTTAAAGGTGAATAGGATTTAATGATTTGAAATTTTTGTTTAATGATATACCTATACATAAATGCCGACCCAAAGAAGTAGAAACAACACACCAAAACCAGAAAATATTGCTGCTACTAAAGAAATTAACAACTCTTTGAACATGTCCCTTGTAAATTTTGTACTAGTAACTTCATATACAAAGAACCATGCTGTAAAGAATATTCCAATTCCTAGTAATACCACTGCTAATAATGGAAAAATTGCAGGGTTTATGGGAGAGACATATCTTGTCATCGATTCGATTTCCACCTAAATTAGAAAAAAAAGAAATAAATGTTGATTTTTTAAGATATTTATCATAATAAGTATACATATGCATCCTACTAACAATGCTAAACAAAACAAAACTTGATACTTTTTTATATACAATGAAATACAAATAAGCTTTAAAGATTCTATAAAATTAGTAGTGTTATTCAAACGTTATGTATACTTAAACAATTAGGTATACATGTAATATTCAATATATATATATATTTAATTTTAACAGATTTATCAGACATGCAAATTTTCAGTGAGGGAGCACCGGAACAGTTCAGCAAAATTATACTTTCATTGCAACATAAAATATTGTATTGAATATAGTAAAATAATCACTAACAACATTATCAAGATTAATCATCGTATTAAATTAAAAGTTGCACTCACCATTGTATTAAATAAAATATTTTGACGTGGCCTGTTTAATAGACACGTAAAAATTACACGCGATTGGAAGTTGTGCTTGATTGTTGCAAACTTCAGAATAATACACAAATAATAGCTGCCAATAGTTAAGACACAAATTACTGACATTTTTAAAATAAACAACACATTTATTACTAACTTGCAATAAATGAAATAAACAAATAATTATGATTCAATTTCTATATGCTTATTAATTTGTAATTTAGGAACGTTATAAAAAATAATAACTGGAAATATAATTTGAAATATATTGAATAAATTTCAAACGGTTATCGAACATATCAATATGAAATATTAGAATACTAATTTTCATTATTACTCTCTTTTTATTAGGTAGGATAGTGATCATAATTATAATTAATGGTTTTTACCTATGGATAATTACACAACTTGTACATACATACATATATATATATGTATATGAGTGTGAATACATCATATATTTAATATAACCTTAAGAATGTAATTTTAACAAAATATTTCTGTTAAAAGTATATCTTATTTATCGAAGGTAAGTCCATTTTCCAAAAATAATACGTAGTTTCTTTGAATATATTTATAGGAGATGAGGAAGTTTCAATTGTTTACAGATAAACATGGCCCAGAATTCATTGTCAGAGCATTATTCTTTAAGATGGAACAAATTTTGTAACACCATAACATCTGGCTTTTTAAATCATCTTACTGAAAATGATCTAGTTGATGTCACACTTGCTGTGGAGGGTCAACTGTTACAAGCCCATAAATTGGTTCTCTCAGTTTGCAGTCCATATTTTAAAAACATTTTTAAGGTATAAAAATTATCATCATACAAATTACATGTATTCATAAGTTGTCATTGCTTAGAAAAGAATGTCTTAGAATTATTTTATAGGAAAATCCCTGTCAACATCCAGTAATTATTCTAAAAGATATGAAATATACTGAAATTGAATCATTGTTGAAATTTATGTATCAAGGTGAAATGAATGTTAAGCAGGAAGATTTATCTACCTTGTTGAAAGTAGCAGAAACATTACAAATAAAAGGACTCACACCAGAAAATACAAATAGCACAAAATCATTTTCTAATTATGATGGTCAATTAAATGTTGATTCTGATACGCAAAATATTGCTCAGTCACATTTGAATATAATAAACAAAAATTCCAATAATGTAGAAATGATAAATAAGAGGAAAAAGTCTTGTGATGTAATAAAAAAAGGCACTAAGAAAAGAAAACAGGATACAGATACCGATGATACTGATGATTTATCAGATGAAAATGTGGATAATGATAATCAACAAGTTCAGCATTTAATGAGTAATGATATGAATGAGTTTACAGATGAAGATGAAGATACTAATGTTCCTAGTATAAAAGACAATGATAGTGATGAAAAAGATGATTCAGCAGACCTAATTAATGCTCAGAGTTCAAGGGAAAATACAACACAGCAAGGTAAAACATTTACACTATAAAATTTTATTATATTATATACAGTATATGAGTATTTTTACACTGCAATAATATTGTAACATTACAGATGTTGAACCAGTAATTTATAGACTTTCTGCACGAGGTCGGCCGCAATTAGTATATGAAGGCTATGTTTATAATTTAACATCTCGTTCTGAAGGCTTAAATAGATCTCACTATAGATGTGCAGAGCAACATCGCGGATGTAAAGGTAAATGCGCAGTCATTGCCGAAAGGTTTATGCCTACAGGTGTACATGATCATAATCATCCACCTGGTTATCAATCAGAACGTGATTACAGAAAGAAAAAGGTTTAGACATCGGTTTAGATTACCCCTTAAATTATAAATTATGGACAATATTTTATTATATTATAGTTTCATTTCAAAAATTTTAGTAGTGAAAATACTTCGAATATCATTATTATGGTATATCATAAACAACACGCAGTATTTTTAAAGTGAAAAAAATCTTAGCTTGCTATGCAATTTTTCAGTAAATATAAAAATTAACTACAATATAATAAGCAGTTGCTAAAAACGGATGATGTGCATTACAAGAGATCCATAGTTGTGATTACAAACAATAATTGTATTTTAATTAACTGTGATGAGCTTTGAGATTGATAAAAAAAAAATTAGAAAAAAGTGATAAGCACATTCCATTTAGTATTATCTTTAAAGTAAAGCCAAATAAAAGTATTTAATTTCTGTTATTTGTTTGCGTATCTAATAATGGATGTATTATGAATATAATTCCTTTCTATAAATGCACATAGGTGTACAGATGTAAACGTATATGTATGTACATATGTACATATAAATATTTTACCTACATACATTTAAGTTTTTGTAAAAATAACTTCGATGTAAATTATAAAAAAAAAAGATGATATTTTATTCGTAATATATGAAATTAAAACCTAAATGAAAAGAAAACAATATAAATAACGTTAAAAATTATAAAATTTATTTTTCTATTAACCTTTTCATTCACTTTCTTGAACAATGAAAAATAGTTTTCAAAATTACCATAATAGAGCTTATAAACATTATCCAACTTCTAAAAAGCTGACTGTATAATTTATACAAAAATTTATATAAAAAACACGAAAAGTAGCCTATTCATAAATATAAGAACGGCTATGAAACAACGCAAGTTAAAACGAAGATCAAGTAATAAGCAATCTTATGTCATAAAATCTTCCTTGACTCTATCCCACATCCATGTAATTCTTAAAAAATTGATTAGTACGTATTTTTATTCCTGAGTAAAATATTAATGTCGTCTAGCCATTTTTTTCTCCAATTTTCGTTGTTTCTTTTCACTAATCTCAGGTTGCTCTAGAGCAGGTGCAAAGAACCATGGAGCTAATATCTGTTTCCATAGCATCCATCCTCCCCTTAATGGTACCTACCATAAAAACAAAGTAATCATTATGTAATGTAGTGAAATATATGTAATTAAAAGCTAAGGGGAGTAAAAGAATTGAAAATGTTTTTATAATTTATGATAAAATATTATACTATTTTATATTTGAATGCTTTACTTTGTTAAGTATACTTACAAGAAGCCATAATAACCAAATATTATTTGATATAAGAGAGAGTACTTGTACCCCTGAAGTTAATATAATTAAATCTTTCACATGTCTGAAATAAAGAAAATATGTTATAATGAAATGTTATATTATGTATGAAAAATTATTAAAATAATTTGTGATATTTACTCTCCTATACCTCCTTCCATGTTAAGATCAATTCCAGAATCTAATAGCTGACCAGACTCTGAGTATGTTGCTTGTGCTATGTATTTCATAAATTGATAACTTGCTATATATACAATACCAGAAAATATAGTTAATGTCTGCAATTGCAATATAACAAATATTATTTTCAACAATTCAAGCACTGTTATGAATAAATCAAGAAACCTACTATTGATAATGTTGTAAAATTAAAAAACAACATCATGACAGTAAAATATATTCCTAATGCTCCAATAATCATATTCTGGTAGAAACTTAATGTTATTTTATTCTCTTCGACTATCTGTTTAGCACCCTTTGTTGCTGCTTTAGTCTTTTTAATCTAAAAGTATAATAAATGAAATTAAATGTTATGTATATTTTTGTAAAACAATTAAAAATGTATGATTGTTAAATTACAGTAAAAACATCCACGATATCTTAAGTTGTACAATAAATAACTTACCGACATTTTGTTTGCAGATTACTGTACTTTAATATGTTTAAACAACGAATATTCATTCAATAATCAATACATGACAAATTTAACCTTATAAGTATTCAAAAATAAATACTTATTTAGGGTCTACCACAGCCACGTGAAAGATGTATGAGTCTCTAGGTTAACATTTCATAATTCATACTTGAATGCATATATTAATTTTTACTGCTTGTCATATTTCATTGTTTCTTTAAGTTTTAGGTTTCAATAGATAATTAAAAGTTTTATTTATTAAGTTATAATAAAACATTAACGGTGCATTAATATCTCATAATCTTGCTGATAAAGCAAATCTTTCATATCGGTACAAATTGTATACAAAAAATGATCAATATCTTATCTTTAAAATTTTTTTGTATTTCGGCGCTTAATATTTAAAGTAAAAGTCTAAGTATATTTTAAAAATAATATATTTTTAATTAGAAATTTTATACAAAATACAATTATTTTCTGTGTACTTAAAATACATCGTGTTTACATAGTGTATTGCTATAGTATACAATTTTTATTCCACTAACTCATAGTTTCAAATTATGAATAAAATATGTTAATATATTGAGAAAGTATTCAGATTTCTCTTTGTTAATCTATAAAATATTGTATTTTTCAATGATTGTAAATTGTATTGTACAATAGAATGTATCAAAAATTGATTTATTGATTTTGATAGATTAAGTTATATAGATTTATATACAAGTACTGTCACTTTCGATATTGCTACCATTTAATTTGATACTAAAACAGGTTATGCTATAATACGCTCGCAAAATATGATGTAACAATATATTGTACTAATTTCTACGAAGTTAATATAAAAATATACAATCTTCCTACGTCACAGAGAGAATGAAAAATCGAGTGACGCCTTAGCAGTAAAATGAACCTGAACGAATCCAATCGAAACGATCAACCAAAACTTTTGATTCTGAATAATTTCGAGTAAGGGGATTATCCCTTTTAAGCTTGTCAAGTATTAATTAAGAAAAGAACCTAATAAATCCATCTAATAAAATAAAACTTTTAGAAATAATTAATTATACAAGATATTAAAGAAATGCTGTTGTTGATAAGGAAAAAGAATTCTGTTTTCCGCTAAACAAAACCACCGGTTTAAAATGAACACCTTATAATCGATAATGACATTCGTCAATTCTAACACTGCTACAAGTTTTCTTTTATCATTGTTTGAAAATATTCAAGATTGTGTGATTTTCCATGGTAAGTTCTTTCAGTTTTTCTAAAAACAACACACTGAAAAATGTAATAGATACATTTTTGTTGTGTTTTCTTTTTCTACCTTTTTCGTTAGTGTTTGTAGGATACTTTCTTCAATACACGTTTAAATAAATTACTTTTATCATGTTTATAAAAAGTTTCATAAAGTGATTTAATTCACCAGTAATTACCAAATGACAATCAGCATTTAAATTTAAATTTAAATTTTTTTCATTCTATTTTTATTATATCAAAAATAAAATGAAAGAATATATGTTAATATGTTTTAGGTTTCTTATGCAGTGAACTAATAATGTAATACCATTGAAAATTTATTTTCATCCTTCAAGATCATGAATATAATCATGTAGAGTTTAGTATAAAGAAGATGATGCCTCATTTTGTAGCTCTGACACCCATAAGAAGACGATGTCTGATCATTCTTTCAATAGTATTAGTACCATGCGCTATTTTAAATCTTTTGTCACCATCAGAGTTACAAGAAGAAACAATTTTACAAAATAATATTGCAGAATTGCAAGCTAAATTGGAACATCTACATGCTAAATATGTTACAAGTCAGGAAGAAATAAATCTATTATCACACCAGTTGTTACAATTGATAGAAAATAATCACATTTTACCAGATCTTCAATTTCTTCTGAATAATGTTACATCAAATGTGACCAATATAAAGTTGCCATCTATTTACAACTTTCTTCCTCATTTTTTGAATGATCCTGGTAGTCTACGGCCAGCATTTGTTCAAAGTAAAGGGCGTACAGGAGTCAGTATGGTATTAGGTGTACCAACAGTTAAAAGAGAAGTACAGAGTTATTTATTGGCCACTCTTAAAAACTTATTGGATCGGATGAGTCCTGTGGAAACAACAGACACTTTAATCATTGTTTTAATTGCAGAAGTAAGTTGTTCTAAAGAGGTAATGAGATTAACTAAATAGTTTATTATGACTATTTTTGTTATTTTTACAGACAGATTTGGAATATGTGACATATGTTGCAAAACAAATTGAAGTTCAGTAAGTTCATATTTAAAAAATAGTTTTATCAATTAATCTTCCATTTCGATATATCTGTTCTTTTTATTTTTATTTTAGATTTCCAACCGAATTTGAGGCTGGTGTAATTGATGTCATATCTCCATCTGCATCTTACTATCCAGACTTATCTAAATTACGTGACACTTTAGGTGATGATCACCAAAGAGTAGTCTGGAGATCTAAACAAAATTTAGATTTTGCATTCCTTATGTCGTATGCTCAGACAAAAGGGACATTTTATGTACAATTAGAAGATGATATTTTAGCTAAAAAAAATTTTATAAGTACAATGAAATCCTTTGCATTACAAAAAATTGCAACAAAAGAAAACTGGTTTGTGTTGGACTTTTGTCAGTTAGGATTTATTGGTATGTTTTTACTGGATTTTTTAGTAAGAATGTTTTAAATTTGTTTTATATTACCTTTAATTTATTCTATATTCACTTTTTTAATACAGGAAAATTATTTAAATGTGCAGAACTGCCATGGCTCATCCAATTTTTTTTAATGTTTCACAATGATAAACCAGTTGATTGGTTATTGGATCATTTAGTATCGACCAAAGTTTGTAGCCTTGACAAAGATAGTGTACGTATATTGTTAAAAGGAATATGAGTTAAAAGTTCGTATTATTATTAGGAACGTTTTATATATTTCAGAAACATTGTAAGATGGCTAAGGCAGAATTATGGGTTCATTATAAGCCTTCTCTTTTTCAACATATAGGAACACATTCTTCATTAAAAGGAAAAGTACAGAAATTAAAGGTATACTTTGACTAATAGATTAATTATATGTTTTGTTTCTATACTTTGTAACTATTATGAATATTAAATTTAGGATAAGCAGTTTGGAAAAATAACATTGTATTATGCACATGAAAATCCAGAAGCAACTGTAGAAACACAAATTAAGCCTTACAAACAATATACATTACAAAAAGCATATAAAGGTGAATCATTCTTTTGGGGTTTATTGCCACAGCCAGGAGATCACTTAAAATTCAAATTTTCGCATCCAATTTTTATAAAAAGGTATTTTTGACATATTAAACAATAGCGATAGCATGTAATTATAATGTTATAACATTTAATCTTTCGATATAGGTACTTATTTAGAAGTGGAAATCCCGAACATCCATCTGATAGATTTTATAATACAACAGTAGAAGTTTTTACGGAACTATCTTCATCATTAAATAGAAATAGTAATGACATTACCGAAGATGGTTATCTCATTATAGGTATTGTGTAACATTTTATCAATATGTTTGTATAATTAACATGGTGTATTTTAAATGTTACGTTATAATTAGGAAAATTCGATGCACTTGGGATTGCTCAAGGAACAGTAGATCGAAAATTAGGAAAAATATTGGTACTTCGCTTGACGGTACACAGCGAAAGTGAAAATTGGGCAATCTTATCTGAGGTAAAGTTTATCGATAAGTTAAATTGTTCTGAAGAAAACGATTGGTTTTAATGTCTGTACTTTATTTTGTCTATTTAACAGATTCATATAGTTGAAGATCACCCTAGTTGACCCCCGGAAAAAATATTACGAAAGTTTTTTCGACACCATTTACAGGGGTAATACATTTAACAATAAATTATTAAATTATTTTTTAATTTTATTCCTCGTATCATTATGTTTTGATACATTATAAATTAAATATTGTTTCTTTAATACCGTCCAACGTGAGAAACTTAATTAAATAATGTTTTAACGCAGTTTTTAGAGCTCTAATTTTTTAAATTGCATTTGGATTCTACAAAAAAATCAATATTATCAAGTGTATTAGGACAATGTAAATTATATTTTTATTATACAAATTTTATTTTTCTTCCGAGTTCAATTTCGGAACCAGTTTTGTCAGTCATCTAATTAAAACAGTACCTGCCTAGTAAATATTATTTTGTTTATTTGAAATCAAAATACAGTTTATAATTTCATGAGTTTCTTGTAAGTTCTGTGGCTTTTCAATCTCAAGCACAAGATTATTAATATTCATAAGAATGCCGTATACTTAACATGGCGATAAAAAGAAGTGCCAGACTATTTTAAGAAATATAAGGCCAATTAAACAAATACGTGATTTATCTTTTCGTAAGAAAAAGATTTTGAAAAAAGAAAAAAATCGTTGAAGAAATATACATGTTTGTAATATGTGTAATTTATGTGCAATTTATCAATTTTCTGTAATATATAATTAAAAGTATACTATTGAAGATCTAGATTTGAATATTTGTTACACTGTAAAAAGCAAACGGTGATATGAAATTTGTATTGTTCTCGTTCATGTATTATTTATTTCATATAGCTTCTTATATACATATATGTATAAATATATACACATACATGTATTTTCATATAAAATAAAATATATTTTTCTGAACATCAAGATGCAACATGTTATCAGAAATTATTATAGTACATACCATACATTACTTGCACACTTTTAACAATTCCTCAATAAGAGTACTCCAATCATAGACACTTAAAAGTATACTCAAATTTACCTTATATTTTACATAATAAAACAGTTTAAAAGAAAATCTATATTTAACAATGATCATATATACGATGTTGCTTTTTTCTTTTTTTAAATTAAAAACTAGAACCTGATCAGAATTTGATTAAAATTTGTTATGTTATTTTGTTACGTTCTCAAAGAAACCAATGCTCTAAATGGTTTAGGACCACCTGTCACACCATCGACGAAATCTTGTGAAGACGGTTTCTCTTCTCCTGGTACTGGAGAAAACGTGAATGCTTGCAGCAATGTAGTGGTTATAATGAATATGTTGCTCCTGGCTAAGTTTTCTCCCATACAACGATGTCTTCCTATCATAGAAAAATAACATGTTGTTGAATTCTTATTTCTATGTTTAAGTTTCATTTAGGTATACGTACCAATGCTAAATGGAAAATATGTCTGTGGCGTAACGATGTTACCACTTTCATTGATAAATCTTTCTGGTCGAAAGTTTTCTGGATCACCCCATGATTCACCCATCAATATTCTTTCAAAATTTACGATAAGCATCGTATCCTACAACGTCAACGAAATTACTAACATTTCTTCTGTACCCGGACGAGTATCCTGCCTTTGGAAATCAAATGGAATACTCACTTTTGGTATCCTGTGGCCCGATATCGAGGTATCCCTTAACGCTCTATGAGGTACGTTTAATGTTCGTCCCATGAATATTCTTAACGATTCTAGGACGATTGCATTCATGTATGTCATTCTGAAACGATTACACGTGTTAAAAGATGTTCGATTCGTTTCAACAATCACACGTATCATAAGTATTTCGTTACTTTGATCTATCTTCCAGAGTGGGTGGTCTGTTTCGTCCGATTACTCTGTCTATTTCTTCGTGTGCTTTCTTCTGTACATGCGGATTCAGCATCAAGTTTAAGAAACAGAAACCAAGAGATTTGGACGTTGTTTCAGAGCCTGCCATGAACAAGTCCACGCAAATTGCAAGTAATTGAGCCTCTGAAATATACCACAGGATTATAATATATGCAAATAAATTCTTACTTTCGAACCTTGTTACGTTTGCATACCTGAAAACGAATTGCTATAATTCTTGGAACTTAGAACATCCAGGTAGACGTCCATCAAGTCCCTTGGTGAGTTTGGTGTAAATGTATTTCTGTGACCATCCAATTCATCCTGTAGTTATATTATTTAATTTATACATTCTTGCGTTTATATTAAAGTATGCAAGTCGTTCGAATAATTTATTCACCCTTAAAAATTTCCAGAGCTTCTGATGGATCTCCAGAAACGATTTGTACCCGGACATTTCTGGTGCGATGAACCTTAATATCGGGAAGTGACCGAATGGTGCACCGATCATGTCGATTTCGTTCATAAGTGTCGCCAGAATCTGTTGCAAATAAGTCAAATCCTGATCGTCAACGTTGAACCTGAATCACATATTTAATACGTAAACAATTTGGCTATTAGAATAAAAAATCAGTAAATTTAGAATATAAACTCTATTTGTTCATTAAGAATAGACAATGGACAACCTTTTACCAGCCATCATTATCCATAGGGTGTTGAGTACCGTGACACCAAAGGCATCGTGCATTGGGACAACTATTCCATCACAGGATCGATCCATTTTTTTTATCTCCATGTAATCGATCATGTTCGCGTACTTATCTGAAGATCTTAAGTGTTTTTTATTTGTTATGTATTTATCCGTGGACTTTGATGTATCCACGTTGTCCTTCTTTATCAGTTTGTATATCTGTCCATCAACGTTCTCGTTATTATTACAATGTATTTTAGATTCGTTGATTCGTTCATTGTAATCGCTGTCGATTAACTTTTTGAAGTGTCCGACGAGCGACATTGCTTCTTCCTCTATTATCGTGGCCATACTTTTGCGGCCAAATCCGAAATCACGAAGATGTTTCAAAACGAATCTTCTTTGTTCCACCCATAGATTTCCATCTACTACTATTAGACCTTAAATTTAAAAAAACAAAATTGTAGGAATTGTCTCAGAAATATAGTTGATTCTTCGAAATTACCTTTTCTTGAACCAAAAGTTCTTGTTTGATATACTGGACCAGTTGGTCTACCATCGCAGTCTTCGTCCGTTAACATCGCTCGGATACTTTTATAGTCATTTAATACTACGATACGATCAGTACCGATTTTCAGACCGACCACTGGCCCATATTTTTTGGATAAAGCAGAAAAGGTTTTGATCAGGTAACCAGTTTTCTGGCGAAGGTGAGCCACCTCTATGGCGCAACCCAAAATCGGCCACCATTTCGGGCCTGAAATGTTTGAATATGAAATTATATAATCTATTATTTTCTTATCGTTGAAATTCTAATTCTGTTGAAATCTGTGAATTTATTCTCGAGAATAAAATGGGTCAATACTAATCGTATGATGTAAATTATAGGTAAATGGATGCTGTACCTGGAGGATATCCTTTTGGTTTTCTTGATGACAGATAAAACAGTAGGAGTAATAATATTACCACCAACATCACAGTGGAGAACATGCTGTAAGAATAACGAATTTTAATATAAATTCATGGAAAGCGTAAACTGGATAAGATTATAAAAGATTACGATAACAAAAGAGTTATTGTAAAAATACATGATTCAGAAAATTAATCTTTGGTCTGATATAACTTTCGCTTGAAATTTACATAACAAGCACATTTGAAATGTTTTCAAGAAACGAAAGGTAGCCGCCCAGATGGATATCGAACATCCGGCTCGAAGTCTTGTTTTGAATATTTCGGGAATTGACGCACGCTTGAGCCGTGTACTTGAAAAAAGAAAGTGAAACACGCACGCTCCTGAGAGAAAGTTGCATACGGAAGGATCAAGGCATGCACTCGTTTTCATTATTTCGTAACTTCTTGCGTAAGCGATGCACATTTTAATTCATATATCTTTATCCCTTTTTTCTTTTTAAAATGCACCATGCTTTTAAACTTTCAAACGTAAATCAGTGACTATGTTTGATTGCCACAAAGTATTTTTATTCTATTTTTCTTTAAAAGAAAAAAAATTGAGATTTCTAAAATAATTGTTTATCCTTTATTAAAACAAGACTGTTTGGATTGATCTATATTAACAATACTATATTTTGTAAATAAATTAGTAGATTGTGTGGCTTTTAATTAAAAATGTATTTTGATATTGGTATACACAGATTGTTTCTTTTTAAATTCATCATTCACTGTTTTCTTAATTGAAGGAAAGAAGTTAAAGCACGAGTTAAACGTAAGAATGAATCGTTCCTTTCACGTGATTCTACAGATAATTTCCGGTACCCCTACTCAGACCCTTGAACCGATCTTACCTTGTACCTGGAGAAATACACTCTTCTGTTGGATAAGTAAGACTGGCCGTGGACCAGCCCGTAAACCGCTTTTAAATACCCCCGTTCGTCTCCGTCGATCTTTTATTTTTCAAGCAAAAGTTGTTGAATAACAGCACTCAGATGTAACCCAATTTAGGAGAATTGGTAGTTTAAGCATTATGTATGTATATTCTGTTTATCTGCTTATTTGTTTAAGTGTATACTCTATTTTATTACGCATTATTTTTATAAATATTAAATTGATTTATTAATACTGTTATCTTAAAATTTATATAATTGATATTTAAAAATAGATACCAAATTTATATTACCAGTTTTATTGAAAAAAAGGATATATATATACATATTTCTTTAATACATTTCAATTTATATGTAGTCTTTCATTTAGTTTTTTCAGACTCTTCTGATTCTAAAGAATCCTCAAATTGGTCGGAATTTTTTGATTCTTCAGATTCTTTTATCTCCTCAAATTGGTCAGAATCTTCTGATTCTTCAGATTCTTTTATCTCCTCAAATTGGTCAGAATCTTCTGATTCTTCAGATTCTTTTATCTCCTCAAATTTAAAGGGCAGACGATCGCCCCATGCACTGCTTCTTGCACAACGATACGTATTTCTGAAAATATAAAATTTTGTATTACCTTAATTTCATTTATTTATAACAATATGATACTGTTATTGAAATTCGAATATTACGAACTTTCCATTCTTCCATACGGTAAAAATTTGTTCTTCAAATTTTCCGGAAGCTGTACACATTCGACATATAACATGTTTGGAACGTTTCAATATAGGTGAGATTATCCGTGGCCATTGATCATCATTTTCTGAACGTTTACCTGGGAACGTTTTTTTTTTTTTTTCAAATAAATAAAGTCAATAATAAATTATTTCAGCCTGATTTTTGTATCAAACAATGATAATATTTTTACCATATACCTTTTTTAAGTACTATATACGAATAGAGTTCCATTTTATATTCGGACTTTTGAGCTAAAGGTAATGTCTGATAGTGAATCTTAAAACTGCAAGGAAACTTATAATCTGCTATTTGAATAGGACATTGTAAGTCGTGAGGACACTGAAAATTGTATAATGATACAATATTTTTAAGAAGGTAATCGCTTAAGAAGCTGTTTACAAATATACCAGATACTCACAGGCGAAAATACGTGCACACCCCGTGTATCTTTTCTTCCATGTCTAAGTATGAAATCCCGTGCCTCGGTAATTACCTATAACGAATCAATTGATTAGCTGAACGTCTTAATCAAATGGGGTTGTAGAAGTGTAGCACTTACTCTAAACCCATATGTTGATCCCTGTTCTACAATGACTAAATACTGGTTTGTTTTATTCCATAATTTCGAAATGACTTCAAGACGAGATTTTTGATCTGGTAATTCTAACAAAGAGTATGCACTTACTACAATATCATAAGTTGGCTATAATATAAAAACACATGTATAAAATCTACATTAAACATTTTTATATCCCATAATTTCTATTCTTACAATTGGAGCTGCAGGAAAAAATTGTCGGTAAAAAACGTGGTGTGGATTAATTTTTGGTTCAGCCATTTTCATAAGATATTCAGAGAATTCATTCATGAATCGCGATACATCTACACAATAGTATTCTTTAATAGATTTGTTCCAAAATTCAGATGCTGCCCTATAATAAATGTATGAATATTAGATTTACGCATTTTAATATATTTATTCTAATATTTTGAACATGTTTGCATTTCATCTTTCTTACCACATGACTGTACCAATACCAGAACCATAGTCAAATAGCGATTTAGGGGTAAAATTTTTATCATGAGTATAAATTTCATTAAAAATTTTGTATAGAACGCTATATTCAGGTATGCTTCGACCAAATAAATATACCAAGCTTGTAAAGGCATCATAATTAATTGATTTCCAACTATAAATAAAACCTTTTAATTGTTTCAAAACCTGTGGATTTTTTAACAATTCTTTATGGTTCATTGGTTCCTCCATACCATTTATATTGATTGCTCTAGTATGTGATTTAATATCTTTTATTTTTGTTTCAATGTCATCTGCTTCTTTTGGAAGTTGTCTTTCATGTAAATATGATGTTAATCTCTTTGTGCCTTGCTGAACTTGTTTCAATGAAATATTATTCACTTTGAACAAAGAATTTGTATATATTAATCATGAAAAATTGTTGAATAATAACAGATCCTATCTTTTTCTTTTTATTACCTCCTGCAAGTGCTTTAATTGAATTGCAAAGCCAACTAGGATGCTGTACTTGTCTAGGACTTGATATCCCTGGATGATGTCTATGTTTAAGTTGATTAGTTAAAAGTAACTCATCCACTTCGTCTGTGACTTTCATTTTTTGTTTTGTAGAGTACTAATTAAAAAAGAATAAAAAACAATGATTAAATACATTCATTTTTTGATTAATACTAAATAGTATTTAACAAATATATCAACTATAAAAAAAATAATTTGTTTATAAATGAATTTCTTTTTAACAGAATAATAATATTAATATAAATTTCATTAATTACCCATCGTATCTGCTTGCATTTTACAAAAGTCAATCTTGATGACATGATAACCTTAATGTTTTTTGTATTTTCTTCACATAAAATAATCTTATTCAGGATCTTAACATCTGTAATCAGTAGAATAAATATACAAATTATTTTAATTTAAAGTTATAATAAGAATAATTACAATATGACAAACAATTATAAAATCCTATAACTACATTAAAAATGTATTGCGGTATATGTCATATAACCTTAAAGAAATTCCGTACATACAGGTATCTGTCGTAAGTTCAGTTTGTTTTCCCAAAATAACTTACGATGATTCTTGTTAACAAATCATTAATCTTAATGCTTATATTTTGATGTATCCGTTAAAATACAGATACTATAATATTCAGAGTATTTAATTTTCAAACATAATGAAATTCACAGAGCACTTAAGTGCTCATATCACACCAGAATGGAGAAAACAATATATAAATTACGAGGTAAAATGAAAAATTATATTAGTTTTAAGCATTATTGTAAGTAAATGAATTTTATACTAATCTCTCACTGACTGTGTAATAAAATTTTAGCAATTTAAGTAATAATAAGCATTTTAAGAGTATAACAGTTCTATATCTCATAAGCATCTATTGATCAATCATACTAAAAATTTAAGAAATGTATATTTATAAGATGTTGTAATACAGGAAATGAAAGCATTGCTCTATGCAGCAGTAGAACAAGCACCAGCAGCAGATATAACAGAATCCCACATATTGGAACGCTATTTTAACAAGTTTGATGAACAGTTTTTTCATTATTGTGATAAAGAATTGGCAAAGATAAATACATTTTATTCAGGTAAATTATGTTTTAAAATAATAATTATAGTTGCTTGGATTGTAGCATTTGAAAATTAATTGACTTACTGTTCATTTATTTAGAAAAATTGGCAGAAGCTACTCGCAGATTTGCATCTCTTAACAATGAATTGAGCGAAATTTTATCAGTCTCTGAAGACAAGCAAGGAAACCGTAAAATTCGTTATAGGAACAACATTTTGCAAAAGAAACCAGTTTCAGCACGTAAACTTCAAGAACTAAAGTTGGCTTTCTCTGAATTCTATCTTTTTCTTATTTTACTTCAAAATTATCAAAATCTAAATTTTACTGGATTTAGAAAAATATTGAAAAAACATGATAAAGTAAGTGCAAGCAACAGTAAAACATATAAGTTGACGTTTACAGTACTTAATAAGAAACTGTTGTATTATTTAGCTTTTAAATATAGATATTGGTGCAAAATGGAGAGCAGAACATGTAGATACAGCATTATTTCATACACACAAAGATATCGACAGGCTTATCGCAGAAACAGAAGCATTGGTTACCCGCGATTTAGAACATGGGGACAGACAACGTGCTATGAAACGTTTGAGAGTACCCCCGCTTGGAGAACAATTGTCCCCATGGATTACATTTAAAGTTGGACTGTTTTCAGGAGCCTTTGTTGTACTGCTTATAGCTGTAATTCTTTCAGGTGGATGAGCATTTATTATTTACTTACATTTTTCAAGTCAGAAGGTATTTTTAAAAACATTATTTATTATATTTCATAGGTGCACAGTACAAAAATGATAATAATAATTGGCGAGTTTTATGTAGATTGTATCGCGGACCATTGCTTATGATTCAGTTTCTTTTTCTTATGGGTATAAATGTCTACGGTTGGAGATCTTCTGGTGTAAATCATGTCTTAATATTTGAACTTGATCCTCGAAATCATTTATCAGAACAGGTTGTATATTTGATCTATTGATTTGTAATATGCATTTTATTATTACTATATTTTGCAGCATATCATTGAAATGGCAAGCATATGTGGATTGGTTTGGTCTTTATCTGTTTTGGGATTTTTATATAGTGAAACATTAGGTATACCACCGTTTGTTCAACCTGTAAGTCATAATGGAATAAGATTTTGCATAATGGAATTGTGCAAATGGAACTGATATCTACTTTTTTGTTTACAGATTTTACTTTATACACTATTAGCCGTATTTTTATTTAATCCAACAAAAACATTACGATACGAGGCTAGATTTTGGGCGCTTCGTGTACTAGGCAGGATATTTTGCGCTCCGTTTTTCTATGTTGGATTTGCCGATTTTTGGCTTGCCGATCAACTTAATTCCTTACATACAGTATTTTTAGATTTTCAATATTTTGTTTGTTTTTACGTACAAAATTCATCGTGGACCGATGTTACTGGTTCGTATTTAAACATCAACTGGTTATTTAAAAATTTAATAGAAATTCATAATACGTAATAAAATGATATACTTTTCTATAGATGCAGAAACTTGTATAATGCGAGAATTGTCCATGAGACCTTTCGTAGTTTGTTTACCAGCGTGGTTTCGATTTGCACAATGTCTACGTCGATACAGAGATACAAAAGAGACCTTTCCACATCTTGCAAATGCAGCAAAATACGCTACCAGCTTTTTCGTTGTAGTTTTCTCATATTTACACTTAACTAATTCTAGTGAGTCTTTTAAAAATCATTAATTTAATATGAAAATGATGAAGACACTCGTATAGCATTTTATCTTTTTACAGAATACTATGTAATGTCCACTGAAAATCCATATTTCTACTTATGGATAACTGCAAGTATAATGAGTTCTTGTTTCGCGTATACTTGGGACGTGAAATTGGATTGGGGATTGTTTGATAATAACGCAGGAGAAAATAAATTTCTCCGAGAGGAGATAGTTTATTCTTCCCCGGTAAGTTTGATTTCGCGAACGCAAATTAGAACTGTTTATTACATTTGCATGATGTTGCAGTATTATTATTACTTCGCGATAATCGAAGACTTTGTGCTCCGATTCGGCTGGGCATTTTCTTTGTCCCTCACGGAGATGGGATATGTTCATGCAGACTTAATGGTTTCTATAGTCGCACCATTAGAAGTGTTCAGGTAAGTTAAAAGTAAGTTAAATACAGTTTTTCATAGGTCATGATATACAATCAACCTGTAGAAAATAGTTCATATTGCATAATCTAGCATAGAATATTATCTCTAGTGAAGCTTAACAGGTATTTTTGTTTGCATGATGTTTAAAAACTTTGATGCTTGAGTCGCACAAGATTTGTTTAGATTTAGACCATAATGTTTGTCGAATGGAACTAATAAATCTTAAATAATATTACGTAAAATGAAATTTGTATTATTTATTTAAGCTTTATTTCTTCTTTTAAAATTTATATTAATTTATGTATTTTAATTTACTGTAAGAAATATGATTTTCTATCAATTCGCCTTACTAATCAGTTAATAGAAGGTACATATGGAATTATTTTCGTCTGGAAAACGAACACCTCTACAACGTAGGGAAATTTCGTGCGGTTCGGGATATCTCCATAGGGCCTTACAGGCACACCGAGGACGATGAACCACAAACAGCTATCTGTCTTATGGATCGTATCAACGACGACTGCGATCAGCTGATAACATGTCGTAATCGTTGAAAATAATATTTTGTAATTGTAATTTTTTATTTTCGTATGATCTGTTTCCTTATCTTTGAGTTTTTCGCTGATTTGCATGTTAAATTTTCAATTAACGATCTAACGTTCGAGTGCTTGATCATATTTATTGAATTTCAAATTATCACATACAAGAGGCGTTTAATCCATTCAGATCGTAAAATAATTGCCTGCTCCTTTTTAACAGGAGATTCATATGGAATTTTTTCCGTTTGGAAAACGAACATCTAAACAATTGCGGCAAATTTAGAGCAGTCCGAGACATATCTGTTGCACCGGTTGATTGCTCCGATCAAACGCAAATATTAAGGATGATGGATGCATCGGATGGGGTGATTAATCGAAAGAGGAAGCAAAAGGTCACGGATAAAAGTAAACCGTTACGTGCGTCTTCCAAATCCGAATCTTTGATTTGTGATTTAGTTTCTTAAACGGAATGTTAATCTATGTGTTATGGATAAATGTAAAGAAACTGATGCTAGTCGTTAAAGTACAAAGATATACCAGAGTGATTCTTTAAACTATGTTAAATATGAGAAATTAACACTGTTTTAATTTATAATATTCTATCATGTTGTAAGATTATCAACAGTTACGCCCTTATACGCGCATACGTACTCTTCGGCATGGTTTGAATTTAAATTTTCCGCGCTGCGCGCCACATCGCGGCGAGAATCGATATTTTCGAGATGTTCGTCGATACAGTTACGCACAGTAAATTTGAATTTAAAAGAGCTGCGGTCAAAACTTCATACATACAAATACAAATTTCTTTTTTAATTATATCGACAAATTATAACAAAAATAAAGTATTTTAATGTTTTTAATCAATTTCAGATATCTACTTCCTCTTCTACGTTCCTTTTATTGCATTCTTCTCAATAATAGAAGAGCGCAGTTATAACGAAATGCTTAAACTTCATTTAGATCTACCAGAGAAGATCAGTTCGCCAGCTGTGGCAAATAAAATATTAATAACGAATCTATCGTTACAATCCATCGTAGACACGTGCAGTTAATACCATTCGAACAGTTGTCGTGATTGACAGTGCGCAAGTGTTACAAACCGTTGTTATCGAGTATCTTTTTAAAAACATTACATCACGCTGTGAAGGAATACTACTTTAATCCCGTTTCCGAAGGTGATTTTAACATTTTTTGTAAGTACTATCTATATCATTTTTCGTTCCAATTTCACAAAGCAACATTATTATTCTATCGGATACCTTTTACGTGCGTTCGAATGTAAGCGGATAAGCGTATTAAGTAATCTTATTTTTAACATGGAAGATAGCTTTATGAATACAAGATAAAGTTCACGCGTGGAATCAGCTCGAAGTCAAAGAGGAAGGATTTATTTTTCTACCAGACGTAGCGGCTGTTTTCGAAGAAGAGGAAGATCGAAGTCGGAGCATCGAACGCGGAAACGAGCATCGAGGGCTCGAATAGAAGGACAAGAAGCGTTGGTTCTCGTGTACGAGGATATCGCGGTGGAAAGGGTAATGGTGGTATTGATTGCAACGGAACTTGACCGCGCAAGCTCTCTGTCTGCCCTCAATGAAATGACGTGCTTACATATGGAACCACGACGGACGGGACGACGACGATAAAAACCTGTGGATACCACACCTGGCCGACACCTGCCAGTTGGAACGGTGATGATGACACCGACCCTTTGTACCTGTACATGGCTGCTGCTACCCTGCTGCGTTCTCATCAGCCTATCCACCGGTGAATTGGATTTCTATCGAGGTGAGCGTTTAACGTCGACGTTCGAAAACACTGCTTTCATACAGGGTTAATGACACTGTACCCACAAAAAGGATTGTACATCGGTCTCTCCCTCTTCCCGATAATACACGTTCATGACCTTCTTTCTTCGCTTTTCCCCTATTGTCTACTTGTCGATTTCAATCGAGTTTATTCGTATTCGCGATGAAACCGACTTGGAAAATTCAACGCTCCTTACCTCGTCGTCACCGCGTAATAATCGATCGTTTTCCGTTCCTTTCATTCTCTATTTTCCACTCGATTCCACGTATTCATCGCGAAACTTTTATCCTTTCTTCGTGTCGAAAACGATTAAATTGAGTTCCGATGTTTATCAGCGATGTTTCGTGTTCGTTACACCTTTGCATATGCTTCCTCTATAGATATGGTTCTTTTTTAAATTATATTTAAAATTCATTCGATGAGAAAATCTATTTATACATTATGATGAATGTTTACTTTGAATAAACTCACGTTTCTGTACAGGATATAAATTACGAACCGCAATGAAATTATTGTGGGTAGAGGAGGCCTGTTAACTGCTTACTTATCATCTTACCGTATCACCAGGAAATGAGATGATAACGCGTAGCCACCGTATAATTAGTTTTCTTTAGTTCAATTCTGCTTGTTTTCTTAGCTGCAGGTTTCGAGGTGTTTAAACGAAATGTGATTAATTTTTTCGAGTAAATACTAAATTGGAAGTTTATTAAGCTTTTGGGATTCAACATGTTCTGCCTCTAAAAAGAAGAATTACATTTTAAACACTTGCACTATAAATAACGAAAGTAACTTGATTTTCAGATGAAGTCCCCGAAAGTCCGGAAAATATCGCGTTGATGGAATATCGTGCCCGGAAACTGATCGACCTGATCGAGTCGCAAAATCATCATCAGCAGCATCCCCATAGAGCTCCCATCTTCTCCCCGTTGATAGGGAACCCGTCTCACAAGAAGCATCACCTGGACTCGCGTCGTCAGAAGGAAAGGGATCTCCTGAACGTTTTAACCGACAAGGCGATCTTGGCTGAGATTCTCAGGAAGAAGAAGGCGAAAGAATGGAATCTCAGGCAAACGCGATACAACGAGCCGATCAACGAACTTCCCGAAGAAAGAGAGCAGTATCTACCGATCGACGAGTTGAATCGGTTGGAGTATCTCAAGTTTAAGCTGCCTTATTTATCCCGTAAAATTAACGACGATGATGCCAACTATCGGGACGAGGGTTACGAGTACGAGGAAAATGGACCAATCAAGGAAATACCTTACGAGGAGAGGAAGTTTGACAGAGGGATGAAAGAGGAACCGTTGCTGGGCTACCACGGAAGTTACAGTGGTTCGTTCGACGAACAGATCGCGGCTAATGATATGAACGTTCAGAAACCGCACACCACTGTTCCAGAATTTACTTATCATTTCTACGATTCGGATTTGAACGAGAGACACCCGTTCGCGGTGAAACCGAACAACCCGAAATACTATCAGGACGGTCCTTTTTTCTTCGGTAAAAGCTGTGCCTCGTTTGTTACAGTTTTACTAAAGTTAAATGACATAGGAGTAATCGCGGTAATTTGTGTTAACAGGTGATAACGATGAGTCGAGCATGGAGGAACCCAGTAGAAACAAAACAAAATGGGAGCAAGAAAGTAGTGAGATTGAAAAATCGCAAGCAATACACGAAGAAAGTACGAGAAACGCTGATTCAAAGTTTAAGGATACGTCGATGATCACGTTGTCGGAGCTGGAACAACGGACAGGGTACAGTCCTTTGGTTGTGCCTGTGAATCATGACTTGAATAACGATATATACTTCATTGGTAGGCAAATGCGTTAGGTTGAACGGTGATTTTCTATAAATTACATTTTAAAATATTTCTATAATTCTATGTTTGTAGCTATCGTTGCTGGTTGTAGTGCGGCAGCAATGTTTGCACTTGTACTGATCGCTTTAACATGGTGCAGGTAAAGAGAAATTAATTACAGAGGAAAGAGTTCTTCGCGTAACCATGTAATGTTATATTAATTTTTTGTAGATTGAAACGAGGTGCTAAAGCAGCTGCTGACATAGAGTACCCAGCTTATGGCGTAACTGGTCCAAACAAAGAGATATCGCCTTCAGGAGACCAAAGACTAGCTCAGTCTGCTCAGATGTACCACTTCCAACATCAGAAACAACAAATTATCGCTATGGAAAAGTAAGATAATCCTTTATTTATAATGGTAATGTTCATTTCCGTTTTGTTCAACTAAGGCGTCTCGTTAGGTCAACGAATGTATCTGTTAAGCAGCGAAGAAACGTCATTAAATTTCGTGATTCTTTTTATTTTTAATTAGAGCGTGTTTGTTCAATAATGATTTGTGTAGTCGTGTTTCTGCAACCAGAGATCCAGGCTCTATTTCTGAAGCTGAGAGTGAGGAGGAAAACGAAGAAGGAGACTATACCGTTTACGAATGTCCAGGATTGGCTTCTGTAAGTATTTTCAGTAACAGTAGGATCGAACGTCCCGTACATATTTCAGATTTTTTATCATATAATTTCGTTTTCAAGACTGGTGAAATGGAAGTGAAGAATCCATTGTTCCACGACGATCCAACCCCAGCAACACCAGCACAAACGAACAAAGAAGAGGACCACATGTAGTTTCAGTAAATCCTGAATACATTTCATTTGAATATCTTTTTATTTGGTGCTTAGCTCACTGTTAATGTACCATATCGAAAACATTTATCTATATATACATATATATATATATTAAATGTATACAACTTTAATACCTATGTGACGCAGGAAGTCAAGATATAAATGATCAACTTAAGGGTCTGATATTTAGGGCTACATTTGCGTTTTGTGCAAGAGATTTATCAGGCGAGACGATGAACCTTCCTATCTCGTTTCGAACTATCGTGTTTGTTTGAGAACACATATTTTTTAGCTCCATGATGTACTATAGTTTGTACTTTCATAGCAAGTGCGGTTTAACCATATGATTGACAATTATTTTTCTACACACCGTTACACTTGCAAAGATAAGGGTACAGATTGGAGATCGTATATTACACTATTAACATTCAATATCATTTCTTATCTAATTTTCATTCTTTTTAAATATATAGACATAATATTTATTTATTAAATTTCAGTAATATATATTTTGTGCTTTGAATTCCATCAGATAAGATATTTTACTTCAGAGTAGGTGGGAGTTTGAAAGTTGACCAAGGAGAGCCTTTGTTTCTGGCATAATTTTTAGAAAATTTACAATATCTGTTATTATTCTGTCTAGACGGTATACTTAAAATTGAATCACATAATCCTATATAAATCTACGTAATAGAGAAATGGAGGAAAGTAAACGATTAAGATAATTTAAGAAATTTAATTAAGGCGAAATTTTATTGTATACAGGTAATATTTTACCCTGAATGTTGTTGCGTTTAGCTTATTTTAACAGACGTTAGGAAACAATGTGGAATGATTTCAGTTTTACGTACTACACTGTTATTTCTAGCATCATTATTGTGATTTATATTATCATCCTAAAAAGAAGCGAAAACTCTGTACATATGTTACAAAGAAGCTGTTCCTTTTAATATTGGCTATTTACACAGGCGATATATAACATATACATATACATACATATAATTTATTGGCTTGAAACGATAATATGTATTTTATTTTTCTATAACAGTTATAACGCTGTTGATCGATAGAAACAGTTGTAAGATAAAGAAGAGAGCCTATCATAGAAATGATTATTTATTTTGTCAAACTTGAAGAGCACATTACACGTAATTTAGCGTCGACTGTGTAATTTACTCCGAATAAGAGTTACTATTTACATAAATCCTCGAATATCTGTGGAATGCTATATAGATACGCTATATAATAATAGCCAAAACGAGAAACAGTAATTTTCCTGAAGAATTTCGTCTGTGTTTAATAATCGATCATAGATCGAAAATTAAAGGAAAAAATAGAAAAAGAAAAAAAAACACGTGAACAGCATGAACCTATCGTTAGCCTTTCAATGCCTTTACAGCAGCGCATCGTCTATCACAAAATAAATTCGTGAAAATTTTATAGAGAGAGAAACACTATGAAAGGACAATCTGTGTACAAATAGACGATTGTATAGAAAAATTTGTAGCATGATCGTATGTGTTGTGGGGTGTAGCATAGCCGCAATGGAAAACATTGCGAGATCATGTCCGACATATGTTTCGTAAATATTATATATATATATATGAAGTTAATACTATTATTTTTGTTCTTCCATTAATTGAAAACTGGTATAAAATATAAATGATAAATGATGTACTATTATTTTATTAAATAAATTATTTATTTTATAAAGAATCTTTACCTTTTTTAGGAAATAAAATATTTAAAATGATATGTCATAAAGCTTCTTATATTCGACAGTTTTATTTACAAACTGAGTTTTTATTATACCTATAAAATGCAGCAGGAATATTTACAGAAGGCGTGTTATCTTCAACTTTGATAATATATATATATCAAGTTGTAATAATAAATATTTCAGATAAATCTTCAGTTTTCATTTAATATTTCTGTTTTGTATCAAGGAGAACACATTTATTTTTCTACCCTTGAAACAGGGTAAAGCGCATCGTTAAAGATCTACATTCGGAGATCTTGAATTCGTCTCAATCATCAGGCTTTACCCGATAAGTGTTTTTATAGATACATCCAATTATTCATGGATGGCAATTGTATTTTTACAGTAACCAGTTGAACACTTTTAGTCGTCTTTGTAAGATTCATTGACAGCTCCATTCTTCGTATCCATATGAATCTCTTCGGTAATAGATTCTTCTTCAGGTTGTTCAACATATTTATAGAAATATGCCATTACAGCGAAAATGAATATAGCGACCAACATCAGTCCAGCAAATAGAATGAACTCGTAAAACTGACGAAGAGAAAAGCAATAATTAAATATGATATACATAATACTGACTGCACTTTCAGAGAATCTTTACTTACCATTCGACTGAAGAACGTCGAGCTTCCAGCAACAGTTATAATAACTACAATTAGATTCCCGAATGCAGTTGTGAGCAACCAGGTAGCTTGTAACAAAGACTTCATACTGATGGGTGCCTGGGTGAAGGCAAATTCCAATCCCGTCACTGAAAACATAACTTCGCCCATCGTAATAATGATATACTGTGGTAGTAACCATAATATGTGCATCGAATTTGGTTCAGTTACGGTTATAACGTTAAGATTCGACTCGTTTTCATTAACATATCCAACCAATGTATAAACTCCTCCAGTTCTGAACGGTACATTGCTTTTCACTATACCGTTCATACGAATATCATAGGTATTCACTTTTATATTTAGAAATTCGGTTACGTGAAATGAAGTACTATTTATGGGCAGACGAAAGAGAACCGTGCCATCTTTTATAAATTCTATATCGACAGATTTTCCTGGCGAATTCACATAGATCAGTCCTCGCACAGCAGGTTCAAACGAATCTAATTTTTGCACCGAATCTTTGTAGCTGTACGATAAACCTTCAGGTGTAATAACCCAAGAGTTTGCAATGGCTTCTTTTACTGTGATCTTGCCTGAAACATACATTTGAGCATGTTAATAATAATACAGAATGAGAAAACGTGGTTGAAGAAGTTTGAGATAATAAACGCACCATCTTTGCTTAAACTTCTGATACCGGGGCATTTCGAATAATCTGCTACGTAATTTAATTCTTTCGTGGATGAATCCATATGGATGTACTTGTTTTCCCACATTTCAAGACTTTGTAGTACGAAACGAGACTCATTGACGATTTGCATTTCCACAGGACAATTAAGAGTATTGAACAGTCGTAATTGGGCTACGCCAGTCGAAGGCAGAACAGGATCGGTTTTCTAAGAAGAGAACCTTAAAATGTATTTCAAGCAGAAAGTTGTCATTTTATCTTTTACAAGGTGTTCACTATGTGTACCTCAAGTTCAAGTTCGACGATAGCCGACGCAAAGAACGATAATGAAGCCAATAAACCCCCAATAGTAAGCTTTCTGAGCGGTGTACGAAGACCAATTTTGTTCATAAGTGGATAAATACAGATTTCAAACAAAGGGATGAAAGTGAGTACCAACAAAGGATTAACCACTTGCATCTGGTCTGGTTGCAATATGAAATTTCCGATTTCACCATTCATTCTTCTTGCTTGCATGGTCCATCGAGTACCTTGCTGATCGAACAGTGCCCAAAATATTGGTATTGGCAGAAACAGCTTCATTACTTGAAAAGCTGATTTAATGTCGTTTATGAACGACCGGTCGTATTCATCGTCCGCGCAATCGAGCCAGTGATCCCTTTTCACTCCTTTCGTCCGTATCTTCTTGTAAATGGCATGCTGAAATAAATATGTCATTTAAAAATAATCAACGAACCTTTATCAGTATCTTACACAAATCACACTTACGGAAATACACTTGGAAACGTTTACTATCACATTGCCTTTTGGTTCTAATATTTTGTATAAAGGTTTACCCAGTAAAAATATCACTGTAAAGAGAAACAAATAATAATAATATAGCGTTTTGAAAAAATTTCACTTCAACTTACCGAGGGACAACAGCATAAGAACGGTTGGAACGAAAAATGCCAAGGAATAACAGTTGTTATCACCGAAACAGGAAATGGTTCGAAGCTCCGGCGTAAGGAAGCTGGATATCAGAGACCCTAAATTGATAGAAAAATAAAAGATGGAGAAGAATGTGGACAGGTATCTTTCCTGTTGAGGCAAGACGAATTGGTCACCACCGAATGCAACCACGCAAGTTTTTATACCGCCTGTTCCAATGGCTATAAGGAGTAGACCAGCGATTGAAAATTCTCTGCAAAAGTTACATTGTTTATAAACGCAATTAAATGCTAGTTGCAAATACTTTAAAGTAGAAAAATATTGCTGTTCATCAAAATCTTACCTTGGCGATAACGAGTAAACAACGGGTGTTGCACTTATGGTGAAAATAATTTGTCCTATGGCATAAATGATGCTCAAATAGAAGATGGTGCGAAATTTTCCTAACAATGAGTCTGCCAGTATCGCTCCAATCACAGGGAAGAAGTATGCCAACATGGTGAAAGTGTGATATATCGTGATGGTTGTCTCCTTCTTATAATGCAGGTAATCCAAAAGATACAGCGTTAATATGGCTAAACAAATAAATTGTTCAACGTTATATCGGTTATATCTATATTGAGGAAATAACTGTACAGGGTGTTAAAGAACAACTGGTTAAAACACAAGTAGTTAACTCGCGATATTATTCATAAAAATATATATTATACAATGTCTAAAATATTCTAACTTTGCATCAAAATTGTAAGACATATACTTTTTAAATGGCTTTACCAGTGATTCAACTAGTAGGCCTTGAGCAAAACGACCATCTTCGTCCTTTTCTTCTATCTCATACTCTTTCTCGGTTTAATCGCAGCGATTTAAAATATTTAGCTTATACGACATCTATTAATAACCCTTATAAATTAAACAAGTTATCGGAGATCGTTTATCAATTAATCGTGTTCCTCAACACCCCGCGCAAACAATTACTTCTTAAAAAAACAGAAATGAGACGCTCATTGGAAATTCTGTTTATGAAAATATAAAGAACTGAATTTTTTCAAACAAACTTTAAAAGCAAAGTCTGAAAATATTATTACAAAGTTGATAAAGATGAGTGTTCAGTTCTCACATACTACGGATTCCGTAGAAGGAAAATCTCTCGCAGAATTCATTGCTGATGATGAAAAATACCGCCTTTGGGTACTTGAGTTTCTGTAAAATAAAAAAAAATGACAGCAATTACATTACACGTGATTAGTACAACAAAATAAATGCGGAAAGGATGCAGGCGGTTACAATGCAGGTTGACCTAATTAACACGGTTGTCGTTAGCGTCGATCAAGAGGATTCGTTTTCCTCTTGTAAAATGCGAAGGCCACGTAATTTCCACAATTATTTACGCTACTGGTTATACCGTATGATTTAAAGGCCAGCGTTCGACGTGTTGCAAATATTTTAATTTATTTTTCAAGTGATATTTAACAAATGTTAGATACCTGTTGAAATTTTTAAAAAACGTACATAAAAGTTAATTACTTTGTTCCTCCGTATATTCACAATTCAATTTGTTTAGCTGACAATTTTAATGCAGTTAGAAGCGATAAGAAACTAGTTATCTTTTAAACGTTTTATCAAACTTCTTGTCTTGCTTACATTTTTACTAAGAACTAAGTAAAGGAATAAAATAACAGCGAGCATAGAAAGTACATGTACGACAGGTAAAAGAATTGCATTGAAATGCCTTTTAAATCACATTCGCCTCGACTTCGTATCTCATTGAATAATGTTTAAAACATATTACTGGCTGGTTAGCTTAAAAATCGAGGCACGTTTTCTCACGAAAAACAAACCAGGTCAAGATAAACAATTCATTATAATACGCTGGTAAATAACGTGGTAAACCTGTTATTATTATTTGAAAATCAATATGTCAGTTCGTCAAATGATCGGTTTCATTGCATCGAGACATTCTGAAATCGAATTTTTATCGAATCGATGTCGAAATCGACAATGATCTTACCGAAATATAGTAAAGCAAATTCCGTTTGAATTCCTACCTCTCTTTCTGTATTACCCTCGATCATTCTGCCTGGTAATTTTACACGAAATCGTATTAGTCACAGTAAAACTCAGGTTAAACGCTAAATGAAAATTCACAGGATACGACCGACGTTGACACGATTGACATGATAATCGAACAAAATTATGAAGAGTATCGAGTGTAATTATGTATCGACAGAAACGGCGGTTTTACGTGAAAAACGATAGTATCGAGCAGCGCCGCGTGTAGATCGCTAATCGACCAAGATATCTAAGTCGATATCTCTATTTGTGAGAGCGACACGTTCGTCCCGGTTGGGAGACAGAACCGCACTGTTAACTTTCGCGTAGCCTACCTACGATATGTAAGTATTACGATTAAGACCGCGACGATGGCAGTGAAGATTGTTACGTAGAGTGTACTCTATACATATTTAGAACAATGTGAAAGTATCAAATCGAAATCACGGCTCAGTTACGTCTAAGCCACAATCGAATCAGTCATGACGAAATACTAATGGCGCGATAGTTTCTATGAAATGGCTTCAAACCGTGCACAGCTTCACGATTGTCTATCTGAAAATTATGTATGTATATTTCCTCGTAACCTTGTACAATTTCCTTTCATTCAATAATCATTACGATTAATATAATACTTCATAAGATCCCACTTTTTTATTACGTGCAATAAATCATAATAGTATCGTATTATCTTTGGTAGATCATAATGCGAAAGAAATTCCTTTTATATCAAATTAGAAAAATTTTTACTAATATGATATAAAAAGATAACGAGGAACTGGATTAAGATAATTCGAACACAGAGGATTCATAGTTCAATTTCTAGTAAAATACATATTTTTGTTTCAGATGGGAAACAATATTAATCTACGATTTTCATTTATGCTTACTCGCAAAGATAATTTGTAATGCTGTGTCAGCGATAAAGAACGATTAAAAATCATTTTCTTCAGATACATACAACGATAACGAATGTCGCGAGAATACGATTGCGAAAGATTTTGTGTCAAAATCAATATGTTTTAATTGGATATCCTATGCGACGACCGATTACTGTTTCGATGCAAATCCGGGAAAAAAAAAGTGAAATCTGATCTCAATTTCCGCTCAAGGAGCAACGACACTATTTTATAAAACTGGTCCATTTCGCAGGGGCGTGACTTACGATATTGAACAAGTATCTTGGTGAATGGATTTGCACAAGCCACATGGGACTTTCATTTTTTAAGTAAACCGACAACAATCCTCCCGATGAAGAGGAATTTTTATTCTTGAATGGCCTTACATGGACACGCGTGTAGATTCAATTAATTTAGTGAAAGTGTAAGTAACTCTGTTGGTCAACTGAGCATAATTTATTCGCATATCATTTAGTTAACGAAAATGATTTTTTCACAGTGAAAGCTGAATCGATCGGGATGGTAAGATGAGCATAATTTCAATGTAATTATCTAATTAATTAATTTCTTTTTTTTACGAAAAATTTTTTTTCCACGAAAATGACAACTATGACAATATATTGGATAAGAAAATGATACCATTATCATTACTAGGTATATAGATAATTATTCCTTGATAACGATAAGTAAATGTTTACCTTTTGATTTTTCTCCATGTCACTCTTATTGTCCGGATGATCTGAAAAACAGTAGAATAGAGATTGATAACGTGTGTCTGGTACAATTATACATTCATCCTATTACCAAGCATTTTTTAGTTTAGAATGAGTACAATCATCTCAACGTGTCGTTTGTAATTGTTTATTACCATCGTTGAATACAACTTTGTACTTAATTTCAATAATTTAATCGTGTGCGTTTGTGGAGGTATGACGACGTAGTTTTATACTCGTTTACGGTTCGCTGTCACGTGTATAAAACGAGTTTTCATCGATACAAACGGACATTCTTAACAATCGACATTTGTTAATCAAGCAATAACGAGCTAACGAGTAAATGGCACTCGTACCTTGACGCATACCGAATTCAATTAATCCTTGCACGCCATTCGAATAATTATTACATTGTTATTCCAGTTGATTGGAATAAATGTATGCTAATCCACTAGATTATAAAATAATTTAAAAGTGGAAGCCTTTCCAGGAATGCTCATCGCTTATATCTTCCTACGTTGATGATATAGATCAGTCAATTCCAAGCAGATTGATCGTTTTATTAAAAAAACTATTAAGCTTTGAAATCTAAGAGGAACGAAAGAGAAGAAAGGAATCCTCTTTAAGAAGAGTCTATAAGAAGCTATAAGCAATCCCTGGTGTTATAGTAATCACAATACAACGGGGTTAAAGAACTGGCTATTATTGTCATCGTACGAGGAACGCTAGTAGAAAGTAATCTGTTACGTCAGTCATTAATATTTAAGTCACTATGGTAATTTGTTGCTTCCGAATTAGGTCACGGTCCAATTAGACATCGAGAGAAAGACGATTTGACCCGAGTTGCTCTCCCAAATATCGCGTTAAGGTTCATTGATGACTTTGCTGTTTAGCGTGTTGACTGCTGTAGGGGTTATCGATCACTCTCCTTACAAATTTAGCCAAATAATTATACTAATTAGGAAAAGTTTCAGAAACTATGGTGTTTTAGTATTAATCATTTTGTGCTTCAGCATTGAGGCGATGATTCGAAGTAAAATTTTTATCACGATATAGTTCGTAATTGCCGCTTACACAACAGGTCGAAGATATGAAAATTTTCGGTCTCATTTAAAATTAGATAATATGTCGGAATTATTGAATACTAATTGTAAAGAAAGTATTTCATGTGATTTCGTGTGATTTTGTTATTCACCATGAAATTCGTATCAATTTCTTCGAGTGTAAATGGTTGCTTTTTGAAAAAAAAAAAAATAAAGAAGAAATAATACATACTATTGTATAATTTCGAGAATTAAATTGATCGAATAGTAAAGTAAAACTAAGAGAATGTTTGTTAAACATGCGCGGAATACCTCGTATTTCGTTGATAGAAGCTTTTCTTTCGTCCATATTCGCCTGTCGAATGATAAAACGAACCTGTTCCTATAACGTTAACTGGGATACTGCTTCAATTTCTCAATTGTGTTACCTTCTTATGATTATCTGCTCTTATCAGTCGAAACATGCAAGCTAACAATTAATTCCGGAGCCGTTTATCAGGTTTGATAGGGTCGAAATTGTTTAAAACATACTTTGTAAATTAGAGAAGTCATCTTTAGGTTCAAACCGCAAAAAACAAGATGAAATAAATTTATTAATGGCAACGAAGACGCAATGCGTTATCAAAAGTGTAGGTTTTAAATAATTTATTTTCTGTATAATCAAGACATTCAAGATATATTTATTAATATTGACGTTCGCAAGGAAAATATAAGTGAAGTAGTTCAATTAAAATAATTTATTGAATCATATGTACAAATATTCTTTTGAAATATTCTTTTTAAAATTCTACGCATTTAACGGATATCGATCTTAATACTTCCGGTAATGGAATCCCCAAATTGATGAATTTTATTAAAAATTTGTATTTCAGATAAACGTGTAATATTTATCAGTAGATATAAGTTCTAAATAACAAAACAATTACAATTAATGATAACATAATACAATGTTTTTACTTATGTACTTAAATTCCAGCAGTATGTTCTAATTGATCGATAAAATACATCGATACTTTATATTTATTTAAAATAATAAAATTAATTTATAAGTCGGCCGGCATTTGAGATTGGGCGCATCGAAAGAAACAATGAAAGTTTGAACGTGTGATTGTGTAAGGGAAGTTGAACTGGGAGAGGGTTACAATAGTTTACAATAATGGATAATTGTATTTTATAATATCATTAAATTTCGTCGTAATAGAACTGTGATGTGTTGATTCGTTTACACCGAAATGACTATCGACAGGTTGCATGTTACTTGCGAAAAGTAACGGTATACTTCTGGAGCTTTCACGTCGAACGCCATCTAATTTGTGAGTTTGGATTCACGTTTTACAGGAAAGGCTCGTCATTGCGTGTAGAGACGAGTATTATTTCGAGTTCACATTATGGGGTTCGATGTGAACCGATTTCAGGGCGAAGTTGACGAAGAACTTGTTTGCCCGATATGTTCCGGAGTTCTAGAGGATCCTGTCCAGGTATTATTCTGTTTTACTCATTAACGATTGAATGTCCCCAATGAACCAGTTTTGTGCGTTTACGCAAAACTAACCTTACTTTTCTTCTATCTTTTTTTCTTCATAATATTCCTACACCTCTCATTGATTCTTTCAAAATATTTGCCGAATGATGTCAATTATTGCTTTCATTTATTGCCTTAAATATCATGATTTATATTTTAGAAAATATTACAATTTTCATTCATAATGTCAAATAATTGGTTAAATTTTTTACAACTTTCCTACTGTCAAAGTGATAGTACAGTCTTATTTATCCTTGTAAATGAAATAAATGTAAATAAATGTATTTTGCAAATTATAGAGGATGTTAATGTATATTTATTATGTATGTTTAAATATACTAATAAAAGTTTTGTAAAATATTTAGTTTGGCTTAAAGACTGGTAGGTGAGCAATATGTTACAGGCACCTGTATGTGAACATGCCTTTTGTCGTACGTGCATTAATGAATGGATAAACAGACAACCTACCTGCCCCTTGGATCGTACACCAATCACATCTGCTCAGCTCAGAGCAGTTCCAAGAATTCTTCGAAATTTGTTGGCTCGTCTGTGCATTAGTTGTGATAATATTATGTATGGATGTCAAGTAGTAGTCAAGCTTGATAGTTTAGTGTCACATTTGGAGCAATGTGAATATAACCCTAAGAGACCGATGCTTTGTGAACAAGGATGCAGTCTCATCATTCCCAAGAATGAACTAAAAGATCATAATTGTGTAAGAGAACTTAGAAACATCATACATTCTCAACAACAAAAGCTAGCTGACATGAAGCGTGAATTAGGTGAACAGCAGCTTCAAATAAATGAGCATAAAAGGGAAATACATCTTCTAAAAGATTTTATGAGAGCTTTGAGAGTTTCAAATCCTGCAATGCGAGCTATTGCTGATCAAATGGAAAGGGATGAAGTTGTAAGATGGTCTGCTACTCTTCCCAGAGCAAGGGTGACCAGATGGGGAGGAATGATTTCCACACCCGATGAATTGTTACAGGTATTGTAATTTATTGTTTGATGTACTGTTAATCAATTCTAGTAATTAATGAAACATAATATTGTAGACAATGATAAAGAGAACTTTGTCAGAATATAATTGTCCACCACATGTGATCGACGAACTAATGGAGAATTGTCATGAAAGAAAGTGGCCTCCAGGCTTAAATTCTCTTGAAACAAGACAGAATTCTAGACGCCAGTATGATAATTATGTTTGCAAAAGAGTTCCAGGAAAGCAAGCAGTGTTAGTTCTTTATTGCGATAATACACACATGCCAGAAGATATGATGGTTGAACCTGGATTAGTGATGATTTTTGCACATGGCATAGAATAAAATTTTATACCAATGTTCTATGCATGCCAAGATATTTTAAAATTCATTTATTCTGTTGTTTGTTATATTCACCATGATTAATATTCAAGGTGTATGGAATATCTTTGTACTTATGTGCAGATACTAGGATATTCGCATAACGTATCTTGCAATTACTAATGCAGGATATTTTTTCAAAAGTATTGAAATGAACAAACGACATGCCTTTTGTGATAAACAATTGTACAGACACAATTGCCACAAACAAAAATCTAATTGAATGTCTGGATCTTTACACTGTGATATACTATTTCATTGAGAAAGTTCCTGAAATTGCGTGATAAATAGTAACCAGGTTTTAGTTGGCTTGAATAATTCATTGTACCTTCCTTTCTATGAATCTGAGTTTCTCTTCATGAGATTTGATAAACCAACTATTTGTCAACTATTTCAGGAAAGTTTTTACATATATAGAAGTCTGTAAGTGTTTTATTATAATGCTTTAGACAAATAAGAAACAAAAAACATAGAAATTATCAATATGGTAATTACTACTATTAAGGTTTAAATGTGTTTTGGAGGATGAGTATCAGATGTTAGAGAAAAGAATGATTACTTTTTGTCTAAACGTTATTTATATGATTTTAATAAAAACTTTTAAAAATGCATCCAATGAAATAATCATGCTATGCAACGATCATTTACACAAATTAAATCTTCTAAGCAAGCACAGCTGTAAATATTTATAATTTACAAGATTTATAAGAATGCTACGTGCATATTTCACCTTCAAATGAATAATTTAAAAATAACGGTTCTAATTCTGTCCAGGTAGTAATTTATGATGCGTATGACTAAATTAAATGACGTAAAATTTCTTCAGTATCCTTTCCGAAACTGATTTTTTGAGATGTTTGACTTAAGAAAAGTACCAATGATTAGCGTATGAAAAGTATTTGACCTGTGAAGTGTCTTTAAACAAGCATACAATAAGGTACTAATTTTTGTCTTTGCACAAATACGAAATATGTTAGCTTCTTAAAACACCCTATGTATCGTTACGTGTAAAATGTTTCATAATATTTTACATTTAAGCTTTTTATTTCATTACACTGGTGCATGAAGAAATGTTACATTTTTTCTTTAGACCTTTAACATATTAATCATGAGTTACTATTGATTTACTCGCCTCTATAACTATTATTTTTTCTTTTTACACGGATTCATATGACACATTTTTCAGTAATTTAAAAAATAAACATTCAATGTTAATACATTGAGTACTAAGCAATTAGTATGCTATTGAATAATTCTTACAATAAAAGTTCTCATTTTATTTTGAATTGAAATTTTTTTTACACTGTCTTTAAATTAAATCTCGATTGATATGCTAAATGAAAAAATTTGTATAACATCGAAACATTCTTATCACATATTAATATTATAGTATATGTTCTCAGTACTCAATGTATTAAATGTTGAACATTGTACTTTTAACTCAAGATTAATACGTGTACTCAGAGATAACAAATAATTTTGTATACAAGTTGATAGTTGTTATGAATACAATAAATCTGATTTTATGTATCATAAATCATTTATAGTTTATTTTATTTTATTTGCACGTGAAAACACTGCATAATTTTTATCTACTTATAATAAAATTAGTATAACTTGAACATAAAAAGAATTCATTCTGTGAATATTATTAATTATATTACTTTATTCATTTTTGTTTTAATTTTTCTAAATGTTTGTATACAAAAAAAAAAATGTCTCAGCAATATTACATAACTTATAACATTTATTATAGCATAATATGTTCTTTGGTTGTATATTACAATACCTTCTCAAAAAATTCTTAATAATATTTTATTTTATTTTTAGTTCAACATCTTGGAATTCACCTAATACGAAACGTAATAACATATAGCTTACCCAAGAATTTAAATAATCACTGATAAATGTAGTGGAGATACTATCTTTCTCACCTTGAAAGGTGGATGAAAAGTAACGACGTTCAGTCTTATTGCGTGTTTTCAAAACAAGGTGTACGTTTTTTGAAAATTTGTGTGTCCTTATATTGTTTTTTAAAAAATTTGTATTAAGGCACGCTAGGAATGTGCAGGATTATTCTTGAAATCTTAATACATCATTTGGTAGGCCCTGAGATATGGCACTCGATACTTTACAATTATAATTTTTGACCAACGGATTACTTTAGACGCTTAAAATACTAAAATATGTATTTTTATTAAAAAGAAGAAAGAAAGAAAGAAAGAATGTTAAGTCTCAGGAATCGCAGAAAACTCCATGAGTGTTTATGAACACAAATTTCTTTATCAAAATATACTCGTCAAGATCATTGTCTAAAGAAAAGACGGACCAACGATGTTCATTCATTTTAAGTGCACTTTTAAGTCATGTTCTCAGAGATTTTTATATCGTTGGGCATACACCAGCGATAACTTGTCCATAAGCACGTTCAGGACCCAAAGTGACAGGTCTCATGTTGATATGAACATTGGTGATACATCCAACATATTGTGCCTGCGAGGTACTTCCTCGTAATTTTCTTCCAAGCATCGGATGACCACCGATGTAAATCGGATGTTTGGACATAACTCCTGCATAATTTTTACCACCGATTCCTGCTGGAGCTGCTTTATGGTCCACCGATAATAGCACGGCATTCTTCTGTTTCACAGCTATATAAAAAGATACAACAATAATAAAAAAAAAAAAATTCACGTTTTCTACCAAATGTTCATCGTTACATTACCTCGAATATTATGCCAGTTGCCATCGCACAAAGAATTCGGGTTTGTTGGTTCGAAGGAAGTTTCTATCGAACCTTTAGCTGTTTTTACAAGAAATTTAACCGTCCCATTTATCATTTCTAAAACCACATAATCCCGTTTTCCATGGACAGATAACAAATGACCAGAAGCTGAACGTGGCTTAATATCCATTTGGATGTCCACTGTTCTACCAACTGTGAATCTGTCCACTGAAATTTTATCATACAATTAGTGGTGTATAATTTAATTTTGAGAAGAAATGAACAGAGACGACTTACCTGCTTTGAACAGATTGGTACCATTGCCAGGGTAGAAGAACAATCCTGGCTCAACTCGTTTCGAACATGGAATTACACCCACTTCGTTAATGGGTTCACCAACTGGTTGTCCATTCACCATAAAGTTTCCAAGACATCCATTGAAAGATTTGTCCAAACCCTGAAATCAAGGTAATAACCATTTTCATTCAGAATCTGTACGATCTTTTATCTTAATAAAAATATATAAAGATCATTTGTATTTACAATCATGCTTTGCACTTTGCTGGATATATCCGGGATTACTCCTCCCACATAGAACGGTGGGTTAACATTCATAATGTTCGTTGTTCCTTGAGAATATCCAGTGACAGCGTTGTTCTCATCAACTATAAGCTCTCCGTAGTTACCTTGTCTTTTGAATATTACAATGTGCCATTCGTTGTCGTTTATCTTCTTGTCACTGATCAGCAAAGCTGGTCCACTTCCACAGTCAAATGTATAGTGAAGCTTAAAAATGATGTAACAGGAGACACGGTTAAAATACAATGTTGGTACATTGTGACAATTGTAAACTTTTCATAAGAAAATTAAACATTTTACCCTTCCGTCGCTAATGTACAAAGCGATCAAATTCTCGTTAGCATGATCTGAAGTATAGAATATTATTCCCTCTTCGGCCATGGTTTTCACGTCAATTTGGAAGTCATAGTCATTCCTGTACCTTCCATTCAGAGATCTATATTCCAACAAGCTGTTCCTCGCAATTCCTGAAAATACGATTTCATTCTTGCATTCAAATTTCAATTTTCCATTGTACAAAATGATTGTTAGGAAACCGTACCGAATCGCCAAGTATTTTCCAAGTCAGGATCTATAGCTGGATAATAAGGAAGACGACACTGATCAACGTGTATCGGTGCCGGGGTGGTAGGTTTCATGGTCGTTGTTAATTCATCATGATTACCGCGTCCCTCTAAAATAGGTTCATCTTCGTCTGGCTCTTTGCTCAAATCAATATCGATAATATCTAATGAAATTGATAGGTCAAAGATTAGATTATTCCATTCTGATTATAAATGATAGTCGTATCATTATCGCCAAGTTATACTTACTAATCTGGGTGGACACTTCAACATTATCGTCTGGACTTTCCGTGGGGAGCGGAGGAGGTACGCCATCAGGTTCTGGTTCAACTACAGGTGGCAAAGCTAAACAAAATCAATCAATTTAATCTTAAACTGTTTTTCAATTTCTTTTTATAATTCATAGGCTATCAAGCGTAGTCGAAGCATCGATCACTTACAGGATGGATCACCACCCTTGCACTTTCCTAAGAAGGCATGGGGTCTCTCTGTTGTGTTTGCGAAATTGATAATCACACCATTGAGCGTCGCATCACCGATGCACCCAACGAAGGGTGTCATCGCTCCTGTTGGAGGAATGCCAAAAGCAGCAGGTAAGCCACCGATGTACAAGCTGCCCGAGGGTATCAGTAAGGTGGGCGGTGCCTCGATGGTGGTGTAATTCTTCGTGTCATCAATGTCCAGTTTCAACGAATCTCCCGAATGCGTGGCCGTAATCACATGCCACTCGTTATCGTTGAACTTCATACCGTTGATACCTGTTTTCAACTCTAATCCCTGGCTGTTGAACGCTAGGATACCGTCTATTAGCGACAGATAGCTAACCACACCTTTCTCGTGGTCAGTTACGTAGAAGATTAAACCATCATTTGCCAAGGTCTTAAACTTCAAGTTCACCTGAAGAGCGTTTGGTACAGAGATGTTGTGCCACCTTACGTAACCAGGTGTATTCTCCTCGAAGAACACCATACTGGCAAACTGTAAACAGAGATTTTTATCTTCATAAACGTAACAAGGATAATCCTGTATAGGAAATTGTAACATTACCCTGACTGGACAGCCGGGAGCGACTCCAAACGCTTGAATGTTGCGGGTCAGATCAACTATAGTGTCCATGATGACCACGTCGTCGATGCAACCTTCGAATCCTTCGTGGGTCACAGGCTGATATGGATGTTTAGCATTCGGTGGGTATCCACCGAAGTAGATGGTATCAGAGGACACCAGAGTCTTACTGTTTCCTGTGGCTCTGTCATTTACCACGTGTACACCGTCTACCTTGAGCACTCCCTTCTTTTCAAATCTGAGAGCCTCCAAGTTGTGCCAGCTTCCATCGTTGTACACGTTTGTGGATCTCAGACTGATCTCTCCATCCCCGAGGTCATACTGATAGAGCACGTGGCCGTCCCTCATCTCTAAGGAAAGGAACTGCCTGCCTTTGCCCATCAAGTAGATCAACCCATCTGGTGCAAACGTCTTAAAGTTCAATTTGATGCTGAACTTTTTGCTGTCCGGTGATATCTGGAAGCTCCTCTTGCTTAGAATGGCGAATCCATGCTTGTCGAATCTATAGCCAGTGCTTGGCTGGAAGTTGATCAGCTTGTCTCTCTCGATGGCTGCCTTCTGATTATTCTCTCCGTCTATAAAGTTCCAGAAGGAGACAGGTGTATCCTCTCCTATCACCAGATCCTCCATTTCACCCTCGAACGAAGATGCTGTGACAGCGTCCTGCATGTTGAAGGACGAAGGATATCCACCAACGAACAGCTTCGAGTGTTCTGGATCGACGTTGAATATGTAATACGAGCCAGGTAACACGTGTGCCTTCTCGTACAACCGATCCTTGCCCTCGCCGATGTCCTCGCGAACGATCAGCTTAACATTTTTACCCGTACGATCGACGATTATCTGTCGCCAAACATTGTCGGACACGAGTTTATTATTGATTATCTTTTCAGGTCCGGATCCGAGGTCGATTATCAGCACTGGATACCCGCTTTCGATCAGAAGAGCCATGAAATCGCGTGTCTTTGATCGAGGTAACTTACCGTTCTCCTCGTTACCAAGGTACAGCAAGAAACCATTCGTCTTGTTCGTTCTAAAGTAGAGGGATACTTTCGTAGACGTAGCCAGCAGAGGTAGATTCTCAGGATTCTTCAGTTCGAGAGTAGTGTTTCTGTAGAAAGTCAGACCAACCTTGAAACGATCAGCCAATTCCCTGGCGTTAGCGATCTTATTCTTCAACGCCTCGATCTTGCCCTGCAGATCGTTCCCAGTCGTGTCTATGGACTTCTGATTGGTGTTTAAACTGTTCAATAGTTCTGTCATGTTTGGGAAGTATTTGTCGATCATGTCGAGCTGTTTCTTCGCCTGGGATATATCACGGGACGACTCGGATATGTTCTTCGACAGTTGTTTAGCGTTCTTCAGATCTTCTGGTATCTGATCCACGATACCGTACATGTTGTTCACCGACTGTTTGATCTTCTGCTCGACGTCTACCACCTGATTCATAGCATCCTGGGCCACCGTCGACGAAGGTGAGGGAATATTAGAAAGAGCTTTGTCGATGTTGTCCAGCAGTTCCCTGTTGCGCCTGTTCTGGATAGTAATATAAGAAGCATCCGCTTGAGCATCGCTCAACTGATTCTCAGGCGTACCTTGCGTTTTACCCAACATGTTCCTAGCCGATTCCAAAAGATAGAAGGATCCGTTTTGCGAGTTCAACACTCTTTGCCCGATACCATCCGACAAAGAGGTAGCATTTTCAGCCGCGTCCATGGCATCATCTGCTGCTTCGCGAGCAGCCTGGATCGCAGTCTCGATGTTTTTGTAAGCGGAAACCGCTTTCACGGCGTCGGTGTTCCTGGTGTCCGTCAACGAGCTGTCCAGGTCCAAGGAACGATTGTACAATCGTTCGGCGTGATCGTGAGCATTCTGAACTGGAACAATTAGATCGACCAACTGCTGATCGTTTTCCATGATGGTTCTTTTTAATATTTCAGTGGAATCGTCTATGGCGTTTGTTTTTAATATCTCTACGTTGCGGTTCGCTTCTTCGAGATACCGACTGGCGTTCCTGTTCAACCCTTCCCCAGCTATCAGGTCATCATTCGCCTCTGACGTTGCGTTCTTAACGATGTCGAAGTTGCCCGTCTCGGCTGCGATTCTGTTCTCCTTATTCAACCTGTCCACCTTGCTAGCTAGCTCTTGTGCCTTCCAAGTGATCTCGAGAAGATCGTCCATCTTGCCAGTCACGTTTTTGATCTTGTTACTCAAATTGTCCGCCAAAGCAGACAGATTGCTGACTGGTACGTTGTAGTCGAGCATCTCTGAAACAAGGATGTTTGCTTGGTCCGCCTGATCCGTAGCCCGATCCCGAAAACCGACGAAGGATACTTCTTGGATCTTCCTCAGAATATCCGTGGCTTCTTTCAACGAGCTCTCCAACTTTGCGCCTGTTCCCAGCTCGATGTTCAGGGCTAACGATTCAACCTCGGCGACGGTGGATTTAACAAAGTCTATTTCTCCGATCACATCGTCCTCAAGGAAATTCATATCTTTCAAAGTATTCTCTGCAGCCTCTTTCCATTTCTCGCTGTCCTCGGCTGTATAATCGATCCCTCGTTTCTGGTTCGACACCTCTAGCTCCAATCTCTTCACCTCCTGTTGGAGAGGGAGGAAGTTCACTCTGCTAGGGTCGAGGAGCTTCACCTCGGGATACAACTCGTTCACCGTGTCGTTGATGAATTTCAAGCGTTGATTAGTGAAGTAGCTTTCGGCGACCGTGCTGTACTCCCTGAAGACGGGGTCCAACAACTCGGATAGTTCGTCAGTGACGTCCAACAAGTCGCCGGTGCAAGAATCACAAGCGAAACAACCCTGTCCCGGGATCAGAACGTTCCTGTACGGACAGTGGTCGCATTTCTCTCCGATAACACCTGGTAAACAGCTGCACTGACCGGTGGTAGTGTTGCAGGATACTCCGACAGAGTATCCTGTGTTACAGCCGCAAGAGGCGCATCCTTCGGGACCGTAGTTCCAATATCCTGGGATACACTGGTCGCATCTGCGTCCCGTGACCCCGGGCTTGCATTTACATTGACCCGTCACCTCGTCGCACTGACTTCTCTCCGAAGCTGTTCCGCATTCGCAAGCTTTGCACCCCTCGCAGGTGTCGTAACCATAGTGATCGTCCGCGCAGCGGTCGCACGTTTCTCCGACTACGTTCTCGTGACAGAAGCACTGGCCCGAGTGACTGTCGCATTCCTTCATTCCGCATCTTTCACAGGCACAGCTACGGCAATCTTTCCTCTCGATCGCGTCGCCAAAGTAGCCCGGTTTACAGAGGCTGCATGCCTCCCCGTAAGAGTTGTTCAAACACTGCAGGCACTGTCCGGTTATAGAGTCGCAAGAACCAACTTGATTGGTGTCGATGTTACCGGAACACTGGCAAGGTTTGCAGTAGTCCCCGGAGACCTCAGGATTCCCGTAGTAACCAGAAGCGCAGACCTGACAACGGGCACCGTAATAGCCAGTGACACAGTCGCAACTAATCTTACTGCCTTCTTCGTTCACCTCGCATCCGGTCGCAAAGTTGTTGCTGGGTATTGGTAAGGGACAAGCGCAGATCAGACAGTCGGTCGGCGTTCCTCCAGTTGCGTTTCCGTAGTAGCCTTCTTCGCAGAATTCGCAATGGTCCCCGGTGGTACCATCTTTGCATTCCAAGCATATGCCAGTCTCGACGTCGCAAGTGTCCGCGTGCCCGTTGCACTCGCAACGAACACAGTACCCTCCGTGAGATCCAGACTGTACCCTGTAATATCCTGGCGCGCATTCCTCGCAGGAAAGTCCCTGATAATTCGGTGGACACTGGCACTGTTCCACGCTGCTGGCTGGAACGTTATACTGGGACGAATAGTATTCCGTGGTTACCTCCAGACTCGCATGTGACAAGGTCGCGGAGATGCTGGGGTTCCAGTACGTCGCTCGAATGTATATTCCACGAAGATCTTCAAGAACCATCATCAGTTGTTCTCTGGTAGCGCTGAGGCGATTTTGGGTGAGAAAGTTTACCTCGATCAATTCCACGGACGTCTCAAAGTTGAGGAACGACGGTGGCTGTTCATCGGCGTAATAAAACAGAGTCGTGTTGGCACCCTGGAGGATCACGTCGGCTGCGCTGACCGCGTTACCAAACGGTCCAGTACTGTAAAAGACTGTATACCTCAAGGATCCACCGTAGGAGGTCAATTTCTTTCCCAGGTACGTATCCGAAGCTGAGAAGTAGATGATCTGCCCGAAAGTATCGTTGGTAGTGAGTCCAACGACGATGCTGGTCTCGTTATACTCTTGAGGTATCGTCATTAAGTACGTCAGATTTCCACCCTTTTCGCTCGACACGACCAATTCCCATCCAGTCATATCGGAAACGTGGGTCCTGTAGAGATTCGCTGACACGCATCTGGTGGTCTTCCCGAAACAGAAACACTTGGTGCAACCTTCTTCGTTGCTCTCTTGGATGTTGAACGTACCTTCCTTGCACACGTCGCAGGCTGAGCCCTGAACGTTCGCCTTACAGAAGCACTCGGCTGTGTACTGGTCGCATATCTCACTGGTGGTTCCCCTGGTGTCGCAGTCGCACCTCTCACAGTGAGGGAACTGCGAGTAGCCAGCCTCGCACTTGTCGCACTGCCTTCCAACTACGTTCTCTTTGCATTTGCAGCTACCATTGAAAAGATCGCATTGTAGATCACCGCCGATCACACCTAAAGGAGAGCAGTTGCACTCCTCGCAACCAATGATCGGATGGAACCCGTAGGTCCCAGCTTCGCATTGATTGCACCGTTCACCTGTGACCCTGGAGGGACAAATACAAGCGCCAGTCTCTGGTTCGCAGAGAGCTATACTTGGACAGTTGCATGGTTTGCAATTCGGGAAACCGTAGAATCCTGTTTTGCAGATTCCGCATCGCCTTCCGATGATGTTGGGCTTGCAGGGACACTGTCCACCAAACTTCTCACACTCGAAGCTTATCGTACCGTCGATGTCGCAGTTACAAGGCAAAGCGCGATTGTTGTAGCTGGCAGTGATAGAGAAAATCGAGTCGCGACAGAAACCTTCCTCGGTAATGTTGATGTGGAAGTGATTGTAGCCACACTTCTTGATAAACTCTTTCGTCTGATCGAACTGGATCTTCTTGAGAATCTTCTCGTTGTACTGCTCGGTTGGAACGACCAGAATATAGTCCAGCCAAATACCTTTACCGGTGCTTTCCTTGAAGGTGATCATAAAGTTCTCGATCAGCTGGAACCTGATGTTACCATCCACCTGTTTCACGACGCTTCGACAGCCACTGTTACTGGGACAATGAGGAACGGACATCTTAGCCTCGTAAAACTTGCCGTTCTGCAACAAGACGTCGAGTTCGTATTCCGGGTAATCTGGTTGATAGTACTGCACGATAAAGGTGTAGTCACCAGGTTGCACAACTTTTGCGTGGATATCGACCGTGGTGTTCTTGTCGTCCAAGTAGATGAGCTTACTGGCGTTGTCGTAGATACCGTAGGGTCTGTTTTCAGACTCTGGAATCGTGCTGCTGCTTTCGAATTCGATCTTCTTGGCTTCCGCAGCACCGGGGAACTGACCTTTCACGCACTTGCCATCCTTACGAACGCATATGGATTTTGGTTTCACGTAATCCAGGGACCATTCGTTATAAGGAATGGCAACGACGGAATCGATGGCGACGTTCGAACTAGGCTCTCCTGTTAGAATCAAGCTGATGTAGTTCGAGGGGAAGTTCATCGCGGCCACTCTACCATAATTATCGGTCACAACCTGTCGGCAAATACTGGTGTACTTGCAAGGATAGAGGGTGGCCTTTCCTTTTCCAACGGTGTTGGCTTCTATAAGTAACGTGGACGTGGAGTTCTCATCTTTCGGCGTGACGTAGAGCACCAGCAACACGTGTGGAACTGGCTTTGAGATTCTTAGGTCAAAGTGTATTTCTTCTTGTCTATCGTTGATCAAGGGAAGCTCAGTGAAATATTCGGTCAGAGGGATCCTGACGTTGTTTTCATTCAAGAATCCACCGGCTCCGTGAACAGAGTCGAACATCGTCAAATTAGGATATCCGTAATGACGACAGAGCCCCTTCGAACCGACTTCGCATGGAATATTTACATCCTGAGTTAAAATAGTCGCCTCGTAATACTCAGATGGAAGTAGCACGAAGTAGTCGAGGAAAAGGCTCTTTTTGGTAGCGATGCTGATAGACCAGTGACCCGGGTTCATCACCATGGGGGAAGGAAGATTACCTTGTGGTCCCGCCACGGTTACGAACGATGGTTTAACGGTTGGCTTGAAATTCACTTTGAATTGTTGCTCCACTTCCGATGGATTTTCAGGAGTAATGGTAATCGTACCAAGAATTGGTTCATTGTTAGGGTTCACGTACTTCAAGACCATTCGGTACAAGGATGACTTCTGGATGTAAACGTCAAGAATAATCTCGTCCTGAAGAGCAGAAAACACCGCGTATCCCTTCCAACTGTATCCAGGGAAGTGTTCCTCGGTGAAACCATAACGAACTGGACTGTTGCTGGGTGTTCTGCCGTCTTCTGCCTCGTACTGAAATTGATGGAGGGTAGGGAAATAGTGTGCCTTCAAGGGTTCCTTACAGGTGAGACCCGTGACACGTGGTTGACACTGACATTGGCCTGTTTGCTTGTCGCACACCGAGTTTACTGCGCCACCAATGTCACAAGCGCAATCTATCCGTTATAATAAGTATTAGATTATTGCACGTTAAATAGCCGATTAATGGTACCTCGTATAAATAAATTACCTACCTGTACAGCCGAAGAAATTTCTTTCTTCTAGATTGTACGTTCCATCTATACACTGGTCGCAACTTCTGCCCATCACTCCTGGTTTACAGATGCACTGACCGTTTTTCGTGTCACACTCTCCGATATTTCCAATAACGCCAGGGATGTTACACTGACAGTCTTGAAAGAAAATAGAAAAACCGCACAATTATGAATACACGAATAAAACTATTGTGCCCTTGGAATTCAGATGTCGAGCTTACCTTCGCAACCTTGAGGATTATAAGGCTGCAAATTCCAGAACAATGGCTTACACTGGTTGCATATCCTTCCTTCCACGCGGTCCTTGCACTGACAGAGCTCGCCAGCAGGCAAAGAACCACACCCTTGAAAGGTTTCAAGGACTCCAGCTGGGTCACAGTTGCAGCCCTCGCAAGTTGGAAAGTTGTAGAAACCCTCTTTACACTGGTTACACCTGGCTCCATCGAAATTTTCCCGGCACTGGCACTTACCCTCTGCGTCACAGGAGGCGCCGATAGAGCCATGGCTGTCGCAATTACAGGCTGCAATGTTCACACACGAATACCATTAATGAACCTTCATCCTAATAATATTGTAGTACATGAAAAACAAACTTATATACCTATACACTCTGGATACATGTAATAGCCAGGACTACATTGATTACAAGTCCTTCCAGCAAAGTTGGTGAGACAAGTACATTTTCCTGTGGCATCGCAGCTAATAGAGGATGATCCAATCGTGCTGCAATTACATGGTCTGCAATTTGGATACCCGTAATATCCACTGATGCACTGGTCGCATCTGGCACCACCATATCCTTCTTTACAGAGACAGGCACCATTCGATTTGTTGCAAATGCCAGGCACTGTTCCGCGTGTATCGCAGTTGCAATCTGAAAAATTAACGTTAATAAATTTTGTCTTTTGGCAAGTACAAGTAATGCCATTGTAGAGCACTTACATGTACAAAAAGGATAATTGTAGTAACCATGCTCGCAAATATCACAAGTTCGTCCGCCAAAGTTGTTCTTGCACGTACAGTTGCCGGAAACCACGTCACAGACCTCGTCCAAAGAACTCGGCAGATTACATTCGCAAGCTGTCAATTACATTATTCATTGTTACGTCAATAAGTACATTATCCGAGGAAGCAAAGTTCAGTACATTACGAAAATAATCTTCCTGACACGCTTTCGATTTACATTCACCTTCAAGAACGAATCACAAAGTTTCTCTTATCTTAACTTAACAATTATTATTCATTCTGACAGTCTCATTGACGCCGACAACGAAAAGTTTTGTACATATTGGTAAAAGTATCACTCACGTAAACACTCGGGGAAGTTATAGTAGCCTTCCGCGCAGAGATTACAATAATGACCGGCGTAATTCGGTTTGCAAGGGCAAGAACCATCGATTGCCTCGCAATAATTTCCATCGGTTCCGTTCAAGTGACACTGACAAGGTACACAGTTTGGATAACCGTAATATCCAAAGCTGCAACTGTCGCAATCCGGCGCAGTGTACTCCTTACGACACTCGCATTTACCGGTAGCATCCGCGCAGTTTCCGGTCGAGTAGAATACATCGCACTGACATGCTGTAAAGATACGAATAAAGTCTACTTAATAAAGTTTCGACAATTTTACTAGTTGTCGATAGAAGAATAACATACGTTGACAAACATCAGTCGCGTTAAGTGATTTGTCTTGAGGTCTGTAGAACTTGGGTTTGCATCGATTGCAGTTAATTCCTTCCGTGTTGTCCCGGCAATTCTGACATACACCACCACCCTCGTAGTTCCCATGAATATCCAGAGACAAATGTTTCTCGTCCACTTCCGTATCGTACTCGCACTCGTCCGAGTGACCAAAACAGTTGCAAGCTGAACAGGATAATTAAAAAAAGTAATATCGTAGTCAAATTCTATTGTACACTCGCGTGCAAGGATGGTTGCTCTTGGTTAAGGGGAAACTGCCCCTTAACAGATGGCAACCGTTCTTGCACGCGTGTATACTACGCTTGTAAAGGTACGCAAGGGGCTTTAGCATGCTCTTACGTTCACACGTGAACTTTTTGAACGCTGTGGATTGCCGCCACTTCTTCTGTTCGAACCCTTTGCAGCAGGTAGCACACTGAGGGCCACAGGTGTTGTGCTGGCATCTGCAAACGAGTTTTTTCGGCATCTTTGGGTCCAATATGTCGCAGGTATCCGCATGGCCGTTGCACATGCACCTTCCACCAATACTGATGTCTTTGATAGAATAGAAATACTGAAAGACGGTTTTTTATTTTACTCAATTACTCGCACAAAAGTTAAATATGATCCATGTTAGGGTCGCTTACTCTTCTAGTCACGGTGGGATCCTCTCGCACCAAGGACATCAGATGTCCAAGCAAGTTTTTCGTCCTCAGGAAACGGAAACGAACGTTCGTAGCTCTGGTCCATTCTTGCAATAGCGTTGAATTGAAATAGTGCTTGGCTGAGGGACGATTATTCAAGATTGAGATCGGTATTTCGCCACCTTCCAACGGCACTATTTGAGAGTACTCTGTAGTACAGATTACGCTGTCGTCTCTGGTGATCGGTTTATAACTATCTACACCGAAGTAAGTTAAACAATCGTTGGCAGTATCGGAGAAATATTGCCAGGGTGACCAGGTCTTCCCATAATCCTTGGATTTCTCGAGCACCCAGAGTCCAGGTCTCGGGGAATTTGCCATCTTTACGTACACGTACGCCACGTGAAATTCCTGTGGGAATAATTTGATTTATTTAGTACTGTTCTCGTTTCGAGGAGAGTAGATGTAAGTTGTTCCTCGGTCCAGAGGGTAAAAGGCAAAAACCAAGAATCGAGGGACACATGTGTTTGGTATGGAGTTTCAGTACATTACGATCGTTCCTTCCACCGAAATTCTCGAACACGTGGTTCAGAATGCAGCAGAGAAAGAGTGAGAGAGAGAGCTCGTAGCGTAAATGAATCCTTCTCAGAAACTGTTTAGCGAAAAGACAATAACCCCGAAGTTGCAACGAGAATACCCACGGTTTCGTGTCTGTTAACGCTTTACCATCCGGAAGCTTACTAATAGAATTATTAACATGGATCATTTGAATCTTCTTTTGCTTCAACGTCACTTATTGTTGCATAATTTTTTAATTCTATCGAGAGAAAATTATACCGTTCACCCTGTTCCCTAAAAATCATGTTTTCTATTGTCCTCCGGAAGTAACGAGAAGATAATTCTTTCCCGCTTTGCAGGAAAACGCCTACTACGTGATAAAGCAATTTGTTACAGATAAAATACTTAGTTCACAGGCTCATTGTTTCCTGCTACTGTCAATTCTTTGACCAAAATACTCGATGATGCCGTGGTCTGCAACATCGTGAAACTTACTTGTCCAAGATTAATCGTCAAATTCACTTCGTTATACTTCATTCCTCTGGAGAGCGGTGGCGATTGCCACCAGGTTTCCATTCCATCGACCGCATACTCCGGTGGATGCCTCTTTTCCGGGTTATCCGAGTCGCAGTAATCGCATACCTGTGTGCAAGCATCAATGACATTTTTAATTTTCCAAATCCGAAAGATCAGTACGCTAAAATTTTTGCAAGAACATAAAGATTTGGATAGTCGAGGCAACTACTCGCTATTAATCCGGTGTCTCTATATTTAGAGTTTTCTTGAAACACGAGCAATACGTGAACTGACTGAAACGTGAACAGTAGTTACAACATCGTTCGCATTTCAAGATACTAATCGTATAAAAATTCTGTAAATATTGAATATTTCTGTCACTGTATTATCTAATTGATCGTTAGAGTTCAACGTCCTGATCCATGGAAACAAAAAGACTTTACTTCGTAATTTACTTCGTCTGAATAGCATTGGATGATTTCTTGTTATTTTAATTAAATTGTTCATTGAAAACTTTTGACGAGAAATCTTGATGAAAATCACACGAATGAATTAGGGGTATTTTTCAAAGAGCCTTTATGGGACATTGGTGTCAGTCAGTATGGAATTCGAAAAGACAAGATGGTCAAGTGTTATCGAGGGGTCACCCTTATCGTAAGCTTCTTATCGGCCCTCTCAATTCTAGCCTACATGGCATTTTCTTTCGCCCGCGTAAAGAGATACACGTAACACTGTACAGCCATTGACCATTCAGGATATCGTCGATTCATGAATCGTCTCCAATAATATTAATTACACTGCTATCTTCTATTATTTTCGCAAGAATTTCATTCCTATCGCAACTAGAACGTTACGTTTAAAAATAATATTTGCGAAACAATTCATATTTAACTTTCATTAATTAATAGATCACAATTAATATAATATTAAGATAATCGTTTCAAGTGTTCCTATTACCATGAAATCGGTCATCTAATTTATTATTTCCTGTTTGTATAATGAATTCAGCGATACGATACCGAGAAATGCGGGCAATCAGTAGCGATGGTGATAAACCGATTGAAACCGACTACTTCGCAAATTTAATGTTTTTTTCTCTAACGAAGAATTAAGAACATCTAAGGGATGTTAAATAGAATTTTTCTGATCGTTAACAAAAGATTCTCAAAGAATGACCTGTTGAAATTCTTTGTTCTTTTTATCGTCCAATGTCTCTCGCGTCAGTGTCCAGGGGTAATTTTCGAAGAAGAGAAGTTGCGATTATCCTCTCGGATTACTTTAAGGTGTCTCATCTAACGTTACCACCAAAGCAGATCTGCTCTTGTGTTCGCAATCAAAGTATCAAATAAAAATAACTTCGTTTCAAGTATCGATACAGTAATTAAAGTACATAAACGTGTAAAAGTTAAACAGATGGCACGTACTGATCATTAATGAAAGACATACATTTACGAATGATTTCATTCACGCCTGAACGTATACACAATTAGTACGATCTTTCCTTATCGCATCTCTAAGAGAGGGAGTACGCGCGTACTAAGTTATTAAAAGCAGCGTTTCAAAAGAAATATTTTTAATGAAACTTTCACCTACATGAACAAATCTGTAAAGTTTAGAAATGAATGATACACTTTTCCTATAAAACTACTGTAAAAAGCGGAAAGGAAGTAGTTAAGCAAGCGATTGGCTGTCCGAAGATTGATAAACTCTTGGACTCAAAGGACCAAATATAGATAAAAATTCGTTTCGAGACTGTGGCATCAACTGTTTGGAGCTAGTGACCGCGTTCAGAGATAAATATTCAACAACTTTCTCGACGAAGAACCAGTGAATCGATGTAAAAAATTTAAATACTTTAACTCTTTCAAGAATAAATATTGATACAAGTATATTGCAGATGATCATACCGTGTATCAACAAGTGTCGTCAACCCATTACATATTATCTTGATTTGCAAACAAGAAAGATAATGATAGGTGTATAAATGTGTTAAACTACGGTATTCATTAAATTATTATAATTGCATATATTCGCAAAACGGACGGATCGTGATCGTACGTGACAACATCTGCTCTTTCAAAGTAGTGTTAGAATGGTTTTCGAATCGGGAAAAAGCACCAGAAACTTGTATACAATGCGAGTAGGTCTTTCATTCACGAACAGAGGATGGTATTCACAGCATCAATGCTATCGGGGCCGAAGCGGTCCCGAAGAAGAAAATCCATCAAAATTCCGAAAGCATCACTGAAAGTTTCTCCGATTTACCAAAGGAAACGCACACTGGTACGTAAAAATATTCGAGCGACATTTACAGCTAAAATAGACACATATTTCTAGCTTAGAACTAACTAAACTTTTATATATTTTCGTGATTCAGTATAGAATGCTTTCTATGCTATATTAACCCTTCCACTGATTGCGGGGCCGCAGCGGTTCCGATATAATGGATCTAGTAAACCATCTATCCGAAGAAGAAGTAATTAATACCTAATTTAACTGTGTTTAATGTATCGTTCGAATACTTTCGTACAGCCGTGTAGGTATACCGACCTGACCCTGTATCAGATTAATATCCTCATGTTGGTCGGCACTCGCGCCGACGAGCTTGCAGTAGAGTTCTGGACCGGGGGTGTCGACGCCACACGTGGCCGACGCGATGATTTCCTTGCCCTCGGCCAGATTGAAGTACGGTGGCGTCAGGATCTCGTTTCTCGTCTGATGGACCAGCACGCTGGCCAACGAGACGATCAGCAACCACCTCGCCATCCTGACAGTGGACAGATCCTGTCTGCCACTGTCGGCACCTCCTTGCTCTTCTTCTTGCTTTCCTTTACGGCAGCGTGTCCTCACAAAATAAAGTACGCGCGGCTGGGATATTCCCTTTTTCTGTCCCTCTCTCGCAGTCTTTCTCTCCGCGGGAGAATGCGGCAAGAGAGAGACGCGAAGATGCTGTGATGGTGCCTGAACGGCTTCTCGGTGTAGACTGACAGGCCGGAGGTCACCGAGGACCGGCAGCGACTGTGGTAGAGGGGCAGTGGGGGTGGCGAGTCTCTGGAAGGATGGTCCACACACTTTGAAACCATATGCCATGCCATTCCGTACCCCTACACACACGTGCACAGTACATTCTTCGCGACAGAGCAGACTATTGTCTACTTACGATCCTCGAACGCGTCCACCTCGACCACCGATCTAAGCAGAGAGATTTACTGTAGATTATGGGGGCTAATAATTACAAAGTATTAGCTATAGATCATTTTCATAGAGAAGCGGCTTTGTTCCATTACTCGAATTCGTAGGGAAACCTAATACAATTCGAATAAGAGGAATTTTTGGTAAATAGAACTTTTGCTCTTCTTACATCCGTCATTTTATATTTTATATGTACTACATGTATACATAGGTTTTAAGTAAAAGATCCGTACGGTTAAGGGTTTCTTTTCCACAGCCTCCTGGAGATATCTAGTATAGGAAGGAAAGTGATAAATGATTGAAGGGATATCATAAATGTATTAATTATAGTAGGTTACAACTTACGTTCCAATTTTTCAAAAACATTTTTATTCAACCTTGAGCACGTGTATATATGTATGTACAGTATTTGGTTGATTTGAAACATTTGAGAATAAGTGTATAATTTAACGAGTGAAATATAGTTCATCGCTCATTTGTAAGTATCTATAATAGATCGAGAAATTGAACAGCGTATATTTTTGACTACGCTAATTACATAGCAGCTGAGTTACTGTAAACTTCTTAGTTTACTTTTACTTTATTCCATCTATAATAAATAGCGGAAAACATGATGCTGGAACTTAAAATCACAGATATGATAAAATTTGCTAATAGTAAAGTATCAGCCGAGTCCACCCATATCGTAAATACCCGCGCTGGAAATAAAAAGATTTTTTTAAATTTAAAGTTAGGTAAAAAGAATATCGATACTCTTTAGTGTTCACTTACTTAAGTTAGTAAATGCAGAGATGAACCAAGTAATCGGCGACACCGTATCTGCATTTTTGGCACGGTAAATCGCTAACAATTGAACAACTTTGCTCGAGACTGAAATAGGTGTGCACATTGGCTATAAGAAAAATATTCAAAAATTATTGTCAATTCATAAACGATATTTTTAAAATTTATAAATATTATTATTAATTAATTAACGCACCGCTAAAAAGGTAAGAACAACTTTTGGAATAAGTTGCAATGCAAAAGAAATACTTATAGAAAAGTATAATATTGTGACTAGGATTGAGAATTTATTTATTTTGTTTAAGTATTTCAAGACTAGAAAAATTAAAATATATTCTTGCAATAAGATAACAGGATACTCTAGATAAGATAATACTGAATAACCATTTGTATAATTATAGCTAGTCATCACTGTATAGCTGTAAAAAAGAAAATTTTTACTATATTTATTTATAAACATGTTTCGAAAATTACAAATTTAAAAATAGTATTAAAGTTACCTTGTTAATTCTAGTAAAAGGCCTAAAATTGAAATCTGATCTGCAGATTTGGCAAAAAGTACATTCAAAATTTGTGGAATTTTTAATATAAAACAGAAGCCTATTGTTATAAGGCTTAAAAAATCAATTAAATACTGGAACGACATTTTCTCTAATTATTTTCGGATATCTGTAATTTGATATCATGCATTATATTAAGCAATTTTTATTACATAAATTATGCTAACTAATAAACATATATTGGTAATTCGTTCATTTATCATATAATAAAATTTAAATGTTAAAAATAAATTATTAGAAATAGAAAAGAACATACTGACTAAATTAAAGTAATTCTATATTAACATTAATCTAAACAAAATTATTATTACCTTTAGAAATTATTTTAAGCAATATTAATTTAGAAGTTTCGAATTATCATAAAATCATAATTAAATCATTTTTGTAATGTTTAATTAATTGATACAGATTGTTCACCTTTTTCGTGACAATTAATTTTCGGCACCACTTGTGTCAGAAACACATTCATACAACCATCTATTACTACTGACGTATACACGTCAACTTGGATGTGTGTGTTTTACATCTGCGTATATAATCTCCCACGGATGTCGGAGACATTGTCGGGAATGTTTAACACTTGCATAATCATATTTGCAGAAAATGCACATAAATAAATAATAAATTAGAACTCATAACTAGCGGTTAAAGAAACGTCGACCTTCTTTAACAGCGCCATCAATACCACATTTATCTGCACTTAGTAAATTTTCAAGTAGGCAACATTGCCAGAAGAAATCTCTATCATGTCGAATAGATCTATATATGTACACGAAAATGATTTGGTTGTGTATGTACATAAATATATGCACACATCCAAGCAGCTGATTAGAATTGACACCACATCCTCGATAAAATCACTAGGATAAGAGCGGAGAATATAATTATTTTTGGACATCGAAGAGGTAAGAGTGTTTATTTTTACATTTTATAATTGGTTTATCAATTAAAACTTTAAATACAGTTTAATTGCAAAATTAAATGGCTCAAAAAGGTGGTTTCGAAATTCGATAGCTGCGCCATCTACGCAAAGACGGCGGAAACTACTTGACAGTCACTAGTGGTTTATCGACTGCCGCAGGATCGATCGATAAGTTGAGTTGTTGAGTAGTTTCCACCATTTTCGTATAGATGGCGCAAGGTCGAATTTTTTATCAGCTTACCGACCATTAGTTCCTAAAAATATATAATTTTGAAATTTGTATGCACAGTGACTAAGTACAGATCCATCTGTAGTCACTGTGCTCTGTAATACAAATCTAATTTCACCTGATGGTCTCTGAGACTCCCAAAATCATGATCCCTCGAGAACAAAGGTATGCCCGGTCGTATGTAGGGAGTTTTTTAAATGTTCATGTCTGACAACTTAATACTAGCAAATTCAGTGCGTTCTTTTCATCATATTTATTCAGTAATAATCGTTTTACTAACAAATACTTTTACAATAAATTATTTCAAGCATCTAATGTATCGTCATTAACGTGTCTAGTCTGTCTTCGAAATTTAATGCAAAATCAAGTCAGCCTTATAGAGTCTGGTTAATCATAAAAGACCGAGTTCTTTTTAATATTTTCCTTTATTAGTTTAAATAAAAGAATGTCATAATATATAGCAAAATTAAACAATTTCATTTGGGTGTGTTGGCTACTTTGAAACGGATGACTGAAATATAAAACCATTTTAAATTATGCAATCACATTGGTGGTTGCGGTTCCTCCTTTTGTGAAATACACCGTCGATCCCGGAAAGTACTCGAATAGAACTCTTCTTCGGCATGACAGACGGAATGTGGGAACGGAACTGACATGGAGTAAACTGTAACGTGAAGGACTCGCGTTTGTCTTTTAAATATTGATTTGTCTGTCGAACGGACATTATGTGACAACCATGAACGTTTTTTTTATACTTTGCTTCATTGATGAAAATTACGTGAATAGAATCGAGTTGCGAGTAACCTAGCATAAGTACGTAAATCCATTTTTAACTTTCGAAACGTCAAACATAGTCCGCTACTATCTACGACGCAAACATCAACCTTGCCGGGATATTAAAGTGCTCACTGTACGGCATGTACTTTGATCAAGATATTTCGAACATTTCGCACAATAGACAGCTAAAAGATGAATCATACCGAAGGATATCTCGATTCTTGTCCGTACTACGCCAACGTGGGTCTAAATTCTTTTCTAAAGTGATATCAAGACATATTGTTTTTTCATGTCATACATCTTTTGACAGCACCAAATACTTTTTGTAAAAATATCTTTCTCCCTTGATTCTATTCTTTCATGTATGTTCGTACAATTTTGCTGCGCAAAACAAGCCTTCTATGACTTATCTCCCAATATTCAATACTGCAAATTTATTAAATGTAAGATACATTATTTTTTTGAAAAAAATTTTTAAATTTGAATTCAAATTTGTAATAACTTAAACGATTTTATTTGAATTATAGGAGAAAGACAAATATTAAATTTTATTATATGAATTGTGTTAAAATTATTTTTATGTATATTTTTCTTTTTCTTTTAATATATTTCCAGTTTCTTCATAATGGACCATTTGAAAAGTACAAGCACGCATGTAATCATGAAGATCATGAAACATTCATGTATTGCCCATAATTGCTATTTTCAGGTAAGAATCTTTGCTTAGCTTAAAACTTGTAGATGAAAACACTTTGTAGCATTGAATATTAAAGAATTTTATTGTAAAATTTTAGGGGACAATGTGGAGTTTCCAAAAATTTTGGCTATTATAAATCTTTTAGCAAACAAATAAATTACAAGTGTTGAGATGGACTCTCCACCGTCATGTTCACTAAGCGCTACTGGACCTCTCAGTGATCTTGGTAGCAGTGGAATTGGAGGGTCCATTTCTAGTGATTCTGTTCGAGCACATCTTGCAATCGAGGTATAATTTGTTATAATATAGTATTCATATGTTGTATTCTCTAAATGAAATGATATCAATCTTTTCAGATGCAAGAAAGCGATGTAGAAAGTAAATCCTTATCGCAAGATTCTTTTGATTACTCAGATGGTATGTGCGGTGAAAATTTTAATACATTGAAGAAAGGACCAGGTTGGACTGATGCTGATGGAAAGCTAGAAGTCGAAGTGGTTGATGTAGCTATTAAACCTCCACCAGAATTTCAAGATAGCCCTTCTCCTCCTAATTCTGAATCTTCGTCTGCACCAATTCTTAGCTATGCACAATTAATGAGACAAAAAGTTCCACAGTTAATAGATGATTATGCTGAGACTTTAGTACAGTCAACAATTGAAGAAGCATTAATAATATCTTGTAGAATATCATGGCCGGAAGGAAGAATAGCACCCGCAACAAATCATATACCGGTGGTAACTCGTAGTGTATACAATTCGAAACGTCTTTGGGCAACGGACTTGTTAACACCTTCATCGTGTCAAGGGGCTACTACTTTGATCACTCCATACAATACATTGAATCGTCCAAATTCACGATGTTCTTTAGCTTCTTCTCGTTTGTCCAGTTCTCATAATTCAATAAATACCTCAGGACTGAGTCACAAAGCAGATGATAGCAGCTTTATTACATCTGCTATGTCACACGACGTTTTAACGACCAGTGAGATCAGTGATATGTACAATGTGCCCTTTGATTCTGACATTTATACTGTACCAATAGATGTAGTTAGACCTTTGCATTATCTTAGAACGCCGCAAAGGCCTAAACGTCATAGACATCATCGTAAAAGAAGAAGAAATGTATCCGCTAGTTCTCAGAGTGAATTAGAAGCCCATATTCAACAGGCAAGGCATTATTGTGGGAAACCTCGTGCTATTACCCATGTTATAAAATCCCAGAGACTGCTATCAGACGTATGTTGCAACGAAGCTGGAAATGGTAAACGTCATAGTGTACCGGGTACATCTGGTCGACATGCATCCCGAACATCCAATGGTCACATGCATAATATCGGTGAACCAATTCATATGACTTTACACGAAGTGCGTCAATATTTACAAACGCTATACTCAAGCTCCAGTGATTCTAGTGAAAATAAAATAAAACGCGATAAAGTTCCAATAAGTCATACACCTGTACACCTTGCAATGCCAAAAGGTATTAGTGTAAATAATAACAATAGGTATAGTAATCCACATACAGATTCAGCGATGGATATTCCAATCTCAAACAAAAATAGCAATGGACTGATTCACAATA